ACTTCCCAAAATTGAGTGGTGAGTATTTTTGATTCTGATGACAGCAAAACTAAAATCTTCCCGATGCAATGGAAAAGAATACAGAGAGTATTTGGGAAAGAATGGAATACAGATTCAGTGATAATTATTTTCCATTAATATATGAGAGTGAATGTTAACATTTTTTTTTGTGTCAAATTTTATTGAGAATGCCAAATAAGCTGGAACTGTCCAAACTAAGAGCTCTTGGAAAGTTACTTCAATTAGTTTGCAGCACTTACTGCTGCTAATCTTAGCAACAGTTTCAGATGGGACCAAATACTGGTTTACTGTGGTGGCTGCACTTGTTCAGCATGAGATAAAGCAGAAGAGATGTTGTTTGTAATAACTCCTTCCATTAAACTCATAGCCTGTATTCTGTACCACAGATGAGCGTCCAGCAGTCTACATAGTTCAGATTACTAACTGTTCAGACACCAGTCTGGGCTTTGTCCCATAATCAATAATCATCCATCCTTCATTTTTATTGCTATCTAAGCATAACTACTAAGTAGATCTGGTGAGAGATGTATTCCACTACCACCACTAAAACATCTTTGTTCAACATCCTGCCCATGATACAACAACAGTTTCTTTTTCTTATCCTTTGAAAATCCTTTTCAAAAGATTTGCTGTATTGATGAAGTGAATCTGCCCTTAAAAGCCTGCAGACTGTGTTGGGAAACCTCACACAGCGAGTTTAGAGAACTTTTTACTTACTTATTTTCTGAATGCGTATAAATCACAGCTGAAAACCTGAACTGTGGGTCCAAACACATACAGACTCTGGAGGCTGTGATCTGAATTCAAGTTTGGATCAGACTGTGAATTTTGCAAATGTTTCTTGTTTCCATATCGTAAAACTCTGAAGCCAAGCATGTTCATCTTTTCAGCGCTCCGAATTATGTGGGACAACCCCATGACTAATCAAAACCTAGAATTTACAATCTATTATAAAGACAACAGAAGAGTCTTTTGATATTGGTATTGCTGGTATTAATTAGTGCTAATTATTCAATTATTATTACATTTGGTTCAAATTGTTAGCTTTTGCTTCCTGTTTTTCATTTGTGTGCCTACCTGTGCCAGTTCAGGTTATACAATTGGTCATGGAGATTACATAGGATTAATTGTCTTTATTTAGGTTGTGCCATACTTACAACAGGAAAATTATGATAAAAACACTTTTGACTTTGACTTTTCTGATACACAGTCATTTAACGAAAATTTGTAAAACTTTTGGGTTTCTGTGAATACTTAAAAAACACTTTGCACTTTTGTGAAGTGTAATTTTTTTTTTTGTAGTGAATGACACAATCCTGTCATGAACCTTATTCCAAACTAAAAGGAAATCTTTTTTTTCCAAATATGTAGCAAACTTCCGAGGAGAATCAAGTGGCATTTTGATAGTGTTTCTAATTTCTAGTCAGTGGCCAATAACAGGAAACCTTAACCACTTAGAGTTGCTTTTTTTGTATATTCAGGATGTTTATTATGAGTTAACAGGTTAAGAGTTATGCACAAATATTTTCTTGGCTTTAATGTGAGTAGTCTTTCACCCCCTAAATTCTGTTCTGATTTCTGAAGACCATTTGCTCCTCTGAGGTGAATCCCTGTAAAAACACAGACTCTACTCTATATGAAAAAGGTTGAGGGAAAAACTTGACCTCAAATTTTGTTTTTGTTCAAAACCAAAACCCAGATGAGAACAGTTGATTTTCTAGCTTTCTGTCAAAAATGAGCAGTATTGAGAAATCTAAGATACTCAGGTGCATTTGCGAAGTTCACAGTGCAGTCAGGGAAGATAATATAGTTTTCAGGTCTGTAGGTTTAAACCCAGGCAATCTAAAGGAATGTTGATTAAACTGATCATCTTCTAAGGAAATATAGTCAGTAGCATTTCCAAAATGAAAATTCATCTGGCTTATCAGATTTCCCAGTAGATATTCATCTACAGACCAAGAAGTAAAGTTCTTTTCTCATCCTGTAGAATAGGCAAATAGGACATACAGGGAAGGGCTGAAAGGCCTGTGCTTTGGTTGTACTGGAGATTGTTACCTTGGGGCTGTTAACAACAGGCTTGGGTTACAGCAACTCCTATGCTATTTAAAACCGTAACCACAGCTGGTTGCATTGCAGACATCCAAAGCATCAAGAACAGTATATCACTAAACCTCATGCCATAAGTACTCCTTCATAGAATTTGCCATTTATAAACTTGGTCCTTATATGTAATAGATGGGTTAAAAAAAAATCGTACATGCTAGGAAAACGGGGGTTCAATATAACCTATTTTATTACAATTATCTCTGCTTGGCACTATGCAGATTGGGCAACACAGATTGCTATTTCTTATTTATTTTCTGTATACGGCCTGAATATGATCCACAATAAAATCCTGACTTTGGAGCTATACTCTCTCTTGTTTTTTGTTTGTTTGTTTGCTTGTTTGTTTTAATAACTTAAGCAATCAAATTAAAATCTCAAGTATATGCCTTATATTTTGACTAGGCGTATTAAGCATTAAGCTTTCAGATAATCATGCATACCAGAGCACTTACACATCATCTCAGATATGATGGAGGAAAACATCAACCCTTGGGTAACCAAAACCTGTCCCAGTCTGGTATCCTTTCCTTCCAGGTTCACCATATCATGTTTCTACACAAAGAACATCCTTCCTGGAATGCTTCCCCTAAGGGAGGACAGCAAGGAAAAATCTGGGAAATGTATGTGAAACACCAGCGTGTCTTTGCTTCATTGATCCTAAGGACAGTGCTAAGACATCTTCAAAAATTCAGTAATTTTGGGATCTGAGTTCCAGCTTAACAATGGTTTTGCTATCCTCAAAACATGGAAAGTCAAAGAATGTTTTTTGTTTGTTTGTTTCCCTTTTTTTTTTTTTTTCCTTATTTTCTGGCAGTGGAAATGCTGGTTAAATGTTTTTCATTTGGTTGGGAAGAACAAGTATTAGTCTTTTTCTCAACAGTCTTATATTCCCCTACCCTATGTCAGCATGAAGTCAGTGCAAGATGTAGGTATTACAAAAATAACCTTTTTTCTTTTCCTGTGTTTGGATCATCTGTGGATTATATCCCTGCAGCTGCGCAGTGTCCCCAAAAGTCCATAAAGCTGCCCTTAATGTTTCCCCATGTATAGAGTTTGGTTGCAGGGCCACATTAAGAGTAAATACATAAAAAATAAGGTTACAAGAGTATGTACTATCACTCTTCTATGTAATTTTAATAGAAAACCGTATTCTTTTTCTGTTATTGTAGCTGTACTGATATAATTTAGGTTTTATTTTATTTTGGAATAAAATCTATCTTACAAACTTCATTTCTTATGAATAATGTTATAAAACAAGTAATATTTTAGTCTGAAATGTCCTTCAGCATGTTGAAATAGTTGTAAAATTTTATTCAAGCTGTCTCTTCTCTACTTCAGTCCATTCAAAAAACAGTCTCAGACTTTCAGATACTGACAGAAGTGCTTGTTAACTTCATAGAAAACATCCAAACAGCTCATGGAATTTTTGCCTTGGGGAAGCATTTGTTTTTCTTGTTTGGTCAATTAAACACTGCTTTTCAGGGTGTATTGTAACATCAGGCATGATAATAACCAGAAACACCAACGGGTTGCAAAAAGTTTGGGTTGATCTCTGTGCTCTAGTTATGTGTTTGGAGAGCTGAAGCACTGAAGGGAGGGCAAACACAAACTGAGAAGACTTCTGCATAATTTTCCTTGACATTATTCTTAGAGAAGAGCTCCAATCAGATAAAAAGCAGCTTTCTTATGTCGATATTGGTGCTTGAAATGCTATAAAGAAGCTATCATGGTGCCACTGAAAACATTAGGAAAAATTTTGAACTGAAAAAGAATAGATGTGAAGGGCACACAAAGTCTTGAACTGGAGGAACACTTATAACAAGAAAGTGCTGATTCATGACAAATTGGTAATTTTGGCAGAACAGGATTTCACCAATATGTCATGAAAGGTTTTATGATGCATATAATTATATAACATATAATATTATAACATATATAATTATTATAATTAAGATGTATTGTGTTCACTCTGTTTTATTTCAACGTTTATATTTTAGATTTTTTATTTATTTTATTTATTTTTTTTTTTACATTAGGATAGTAAGGTTAAAATCATGTGAAGTTGCAGTGAAGCATTTTTGTAAGCCTGAAGTGAATTGTTGATTTTAACTTATTTCAATCACACAAAAATTAAAGGATAACAGATTTTAAATCATGGAATTTGCCATGAGATGGGTCTCATGTGGGAAATCGTCTCTGTTCTAGAAAGCTTTTAAGCACGTGCTTAATTTCTTTTCCTGGGGAGGAAGGGTTTGAGCAGGTACTTCAGGGCTGTGTTACCTAAAGGCTCAAACAGGAGTCTGAAAGGAGTTGAGAAGGAAGTTCAGATCCTGAGAAAAGTAGGGCAGATCCATCTCACTTCCTAATCCATCTGCAGTGCAGCTTTCTGGGGTTCCTGCATGCCAGCTGGGAGAGGAGAGGAAGCTTCACATGGCTGAAACCATTGCATTAATTGTGTCTGGGAGATTCCCAGTTGTTTACTAAATTTCACAAAAGAAAGTCCATCCAGGAGGGAAATCTGCCATGTAGTGCATGATCTCTTTACAAAAATAGGTCTTACAGAATTTTGCGGCACATGATTTCAGACAGCATGGTTCCTTTCACTGCTACCATTTACAGATACTGCCTTGACAGTCACAAATGCATGAAGTCAACCCAGTATTTGCTCTTTTCAAGAAGCCTGGTTGAAGGAGTACATTTAAGGAGATCTGTCCCATTACTCTGTCTTTATTTGAGTAGCTTATTAGTACTGTGTCACCAGTGATTTAAAATGAGAAATAAGGTGTGTTCTTCAGATTGATTATAACTACCAGTGAGCTTCCTCTGTTGACTTTATATCTACTTTTTTTTTTTTTGTCCTGAATCGATGACAGTACCATAAGGATGACACTGGAGCTGGAGGTGGCTGGAAGAATCACCACATTTATGCTCCCTTCCTCTCTCAGTTGGGTTGGAGAGCACACATAGAAACCCGGGCCTGGGTTCTAAGCCCTAGCAGGCTTGCAGCGTATGATAAGTAAGTAGGACATGTCAACTGCGACTCTTTCGCAAAGTCCTTATTAGGCTAACAGCAGGTTTTACTCTTTCTTTCTCCAGGTTGCTGTGGGAGTGTAACTGATGCGCCTCATTAGAGTTTGAGATTGTGTGAGTAATCCTATTGTTTCTATCGTTCTGTGTAAAGTGTGTATAATCACCCTGCTTCCTCATGATGGTATGAGTAACCTCATTTTATGACAGGCTTTTTCCACATTCCCTATTTTTTGCTCCTTAACTTGTGATTCTACTTCGGTAACTTTGGATTGATTCAGGGGAGGGAGGAGGCTGGGAGGTGGGAAGAAGGAGGGGTGCAAAGGCAGAACAAAAGCACTTTTCGTTCCCTCGCCCGTAACCCTTGCTGTTCAGTTTGACTGTGGGCTAGAGATCAGACGATAAGCTGGAGGAAATAACACAGACAAATTTCACGTGGCTCAGACTGCACTGGCTGCATAGAGTGATGGTTCTGTGCAACATCAGAGATGGGGGTTTGTCTTCTGTCGGGGGCCTGGGCCGCACCTGTCCCAGGGAGCCTAGGCAGGAGGATTGACACCCTTTTCCATGGGGAAGTGTGAGATGGAGACTCGGAGGGTACATGGAGCCTGTGCATGGGCACTATGGGAGTGAAAGGGAAGGGAAAAGAGTTCTCTGCTGCTCGTGGGTGGCTGCACCCTTGTCCTGGGGTAGCCTTAGAGGTGACCCAAACCAGACTCATGCAGCTCAATTCTCCCATTCTTAGCTCATGTCAGAGCAAGGGAGAAGGCAGGGTGGCATGGATGCTTCTGAGGTCTCCCTTCAAATGTATGCAAGGCGTTGCCTGGCTGGCAGTGTGCTGGTGCTGAGGGGGAAGGCTATGTGGGCATTGCAGTAGAGATGTCATGGCCTGCTCCTAGCAGGTGAAGGTGTCACCATCTGAGGGGCCTTATCTGTGTTAGCTCTGCTGGTGCTGCTCCCACCAGTGGAGCTGAACTGCTGAGACGGGAAACCAGGGGCCAAGAAATCAAGTGTAGGCAAGGTCTAAAGTTTGTTTACGATGAGTTTGCTACTTAGATGAATCATGCTGTAATAAGTTGCCCTTTTATAAGGGTGTAAAAATCCAGCCACCAGCTGAGCATTATTGCTATGTCTTAGCTAATTCCAATTTAAGTGGTTATAATCTGCCTGCCTGAGTCCTCTCCTTGTCCTCAGCTACTGGGCAAAGCCAGTGTGCTCAGTCTAACATCTTCCATTATTCACTATATGAATGTTGTTTTTCTTTTGAATGTCTCTTGAGGTGTCCATTAGGAAGGTTCTGATAAAAAAATGGGATTGGTTTTGGGCACAAGAAATAGTGTTGGTCCTTAATAATGTCTATCAGTTACCCAGCAGCAGTGAACATATATTTAATATAGCTTAATTATTTCAGATGATACATTCATTTTCCTCTTGCTGCAGAAGCTCTATTTTTGCTACTACTCAGTAATACCAGCACATCCAGCACATTGTAGTGCTATTCTCAGTGTGTTCTTGTGTTCAGCTCCTCCAGTCAGAGAAAGAGCCATATTTGGTTCCACAGTCACATGTATTTTTCAATATCCCTCTGCCAGTAGTTTCCACCAGTACTGCGTCTGTCTCTGCTGCAGTGTTTTGCCGCAGGAGATGGGCAGTGTTGTTCAGAACATTTCCCAAATGCTCAATAAGCCTTTCTGTTTCTGCAATTTAAGGTTGGTTGTATTTCCTGGGGATGACACAGTTCACAGTTTCTCGGAAGTGCAGGAGAAGCAGACATAAGCAAGTCTAAACAAGAAAGGAGGTTAAGCATCAGCCACTGGATTGATGGGTTGGTTTGCTTTACTTCCTTCTTAATATGTGGACATAAAACAAAAGGTTGTGTCTAGAACTTTGACACTTTTGGCAAACATAAAATACAGACCAGCACAAAAACTGGAGGAGTGAATACCAGGAGTCAGTCCCACAAAACCTACCTTCTTTTACCTTACTGCACAAGACCTTAACCCCAGTGTCCTTACAAACTTTGCCTCTCTTCTTTCTTCCATACAAGCTCATACCAATCACTTGATACATGGTTCATTTCTTTTCAGTATTTGTGGTAATATTTTTATTCATAGTATGACAAGGGAGGGAGTACACTAGTAACTTTCTTGTTACTATTCACTCTAAGAAAAATTTGTCCAGATATTATAATGATGGATACCTGGGCATCTTTTGTTCTGTATTACCCAGCAAGGATAGGTCTTCATCTTTTTTTAGCAATATATTAGGTACTCATCATTAGCAACATATCAGTGCTTAGTTGACCTTAAATGATTGCTATTGCCACTGGCTGGATAACAGAATAAACAGCAGGGAAAGCATGCCCTTGGCAAGTATTGATTGCTATTTCAAGATATCACCACAAACAAGGTCCACAGTAACTACACTAGAAGATTACAATGCAAGTTGGTGAGGCAGCATGTTCTGAACTATTTTCAACTTTGCCTAGAACATTATTGATGATCTATATCCAAGGACAGTTGGTTTCTCCAGTGTTCTCATTACAGTTTCTGGCTGTCCTACAAGTGCACCAAACTGAGTATACCTTGTCTCAGGAATGAAGTGGTCTCCAGTTTGCCTTTGAATTGAAACCACCTTCTAAGAGACTTCCTCAACCCTGACCTCATCAGCAGAGAACAGAGCTGTGTTGGAACATGAGGGGAGTATTAGATCATGGAAACTAAGTAAGTCGAAGGACTTAATCTAATTCCTTCATTCCTAGGTTGTTTTTCTTAATGTCATAACAAATTAGAAGGACTACCTAGTGCAGGAAAAAAAAAACACCACTACCCAAAACAAAGCCCTAGAAAAAATAACACTAGTTCCAGGCTTGTGATGTCTTTGACTTATGTTCTGATTTGTGTCTACTGATGTATATCTGAATATACATGTATTCTCCAGAATATGTTTTATGTTGTCTTGCATGAAGCTGTGGGTTACTGATGCCACTGGAATGTGATAGAAAACTGGAATGAGATAGTTTTGAAATTCCTTGTAAAAAGGATTGTGCTGAATATGATCAAAGGCTGATGAGATGATCCAGAAGTGGTACTGATGATCTGTGATTTCAGTATTTCAGGAGAATATAGCCTACGAGCAGAAATGGTTGAAACAGCTGTAAAAAATTAGAGCTTTTATTTTAATTGTTAATGAAAGATGATAGAAGGCATTCATTGCAAACTGAAGCTTGTGAACACATTGGTCATGTAACAGTTCTTGTACACTGGCTCAGGCTGTAATGTTAGAGCATCTCCAAGTCTGAGGACTGATTGGGTTAGTTTTCCAGCTGCCCTTAGACAGATGGAGGAATGGATGGATGCCAGACCTCTCTGTTTTCTCTACAGGTTTTATGTGACCCAGCAGAGCTTTACTGAAACAGCAGGTCCTGTGCCACTCATGTAGTAAAGGCTAATGGTTTCGTTGCTGAAATTTTTAGGTTTTCTGTGTGCAGTTGTAAGCATCCCATTTATCTAACAGCTGTGCCATTGTTCTTTATGGCCACTGACTTGAATGAGTTACCAGAAGCTGTTTTCAGAAGGGTCTCTTTGCTGTCTGTGGCTGTTTTTATCTATGTTCCTGTGCCCCTCAGAAAGAGCTGGGCTTTAAAAAGGTGTGACTCAGCACAGTTGTGTCATGTCATTTATTATTATTTCTTGCTGAGAGCCTTGGGCATTACCTCAACACAATTATGAAACAGGGCCCTATTGTGGCCAGCTCAGTACATAAATAAGCTGAAGGGTAGTCCTGTTACAAATTAAACAGTACAATAAGAAATACCAGCTAGAGACAACAAAATGAGTGCAGAAAAACATGACAATATTGTAGCCATCAGTGGTTGGGCTAGTGGGCAACTGTCACAGCAAAAAACCACAGGATAAAATAGTTTGCAAGAAGCTCTTTGAAAAACAAAACAAAGCAAATGAACAAACAAACAAAAAACAACCTGCCCCTTCCTCCCCCACACCCCAATAAAAGTCCAGAAACCTTACATCACATTTATTAGTCATAAAGAAGCAAAAGTTGTGAAGATTGATAAAATGTTTACAGAATGATTGAATTTGGGTATTAGCAAATCTGGAGTGTCCTAAGCCTTAGACCAGAGAGATCATCTAACACGTCCGCTGCCCTAGAGAGGAGTTTCAGAACCCATCCCTGCTTCCAGGAGAAGGTACAGAGACATCCAGAGAAGCCCCATTTAGATAAAAGTTTCAGTAATTTCCAAGCTCTCTGCTGCAGAGCGTGAGCTCAGTTAGATCTAGAGCTCTAGGACTTTTGGTTCCCTGGCACCATGTTTGACTATCTCCAAGCAATAGGTCTTGAAAGCACTCGCAACACACTTTGGAGCATGGGAGCACAGGAGTCCCTGGAGATGTGCCAAGGGTACAGGCAGAGTCCATGCAAATCTTCTCTTCAGTCTCCCAAAGCTTACTGAGAATATGCAGTTTGGGAGTTCTGTCTGCCTCTCACTGGTGACAACACTTTCTTCTAGGGAGAAGCTGACGATTTGTAGTCATCATATGTACGTGTCTAACCACTGACAAGTATCTGATAGACCTTGTGATTGCAAAATGTGTTTCATTTTAGGGGAGTTTTGAAGGGCAGAAGTGATCCTGTTTTGCATATTTTCATGAGAACTCCATTAAGACTTAAGGGCTATCTTTAATGAGAGAGGTGGCTGAGGGAAAATTACATTGCTGGGTGGACAAAACACATTGATGTGCACATCAGCAGCTGGGTGTCACAGAGATTGTAAGAACTCTTTTAAAGATCTTGCCATCCACCTTGCATCCTATGACCTGCTATATAGATTGTGGAATTTGTTCTTTTTGTGTCTTAGCTACAAAGGAGATAATTAAGGGTCTGAGCATTAATGTCTGCTGACAGATTTCCATTGAGTTTCATGGTCATTGAGTCCACTCATATTTGAAATGTTCAGTTATCTCCACAAGAAAAAGGTGGTAGATGACCAGAAGAGATCATATTGTTCCTGTTGTCACTGATTTCCTTTGCTAAACTCCAGCAAGGTAGAAGGTTGCATTACCCAAATCAGCACTAAGAAATAAAAAAGTCATAAAAAGGTCAGTTTCACTCCTGCTGCACAGAGCTATACCTGATGTAAGTGTACTGACTTCCTTTAATTTTATTTCATGCAGCTATTAGTATTTATATTGTGAGATCTCTGGAAATTGAGGAGATGTAGGATTTGGAAAGCAAATAATGTTTGAATCTTCAATTTGAGATAAATAAGAAGCACACTTTGGAGGTAAATATCACATAGTACAGAAAATACATGGGTCGAGGGTAGTATTTTACTGGAACTGAGAAATTTTATAGTCTTCTTAGAGCCAAGAAAGAATGGAGATAGTGAAAAAAGCAAGGGCAACTGCCCTCCTCTCCTGAATTACCCCCCCACAACCACCACCAAAGTCTGTGTTAAAAAGGAATGGTGGGGAGCAGGAGAGGTACAATTAGGCAAAGTAGGCATTGGAGAGGCATTTAGATAAAAGAGTTCACAATAAAAAATAGAATACAAGAAAGGAAATTAACAAATAAAAAGCAGTCTGAAATCCCACAAAGTCCAGCAAGGCCACTGTAATAATCTACAGACAGAAAACCTCTGAGCAAAAAGGGGTTGTTCGTAGCAGGTGGAGCTGAGATATCAAGAGGAGCACAGCAGAGTCTATGAGGAGACATGAAAAACCAACCCAACCCTTTTTCCTAGTCCTTTTCCAGTATAAGTTAGCCTTGTCCCATAGTAAAAGAGAGCTCTGCTTCAGTGACTGCTGCTGTACAGGAACTGGCTGGCTGAAAAGACAGTGCATTGTTTTCTTAAATACAATTAAATAACCCTTTGCTTTCTCTGAAGGAATAGCAGAGGTCCTCTGTAGTAGTATGAATGCACCTGGGTTGCCATGCTCCAGCTGCGAGCCAAGTAAGGTTTTCTGCATGTGTGGTGAGTCCGTAGCCACTCTGTTGCATCATTTAATTCCCATTATCAAGGACACGAGGTAGGTGCAGTGAGTGCTTCTGCTGGGGAGCAGCCACCAGCTCTTGGGGTTGTAGATGAGGAGGTTTTTGCCACCTGAGGGATGAGGGGTCAAGACACCGCAGCATTGTGGCAGGCCAATACCACAGTCACCATGGACACTTTAGTCTTTGGGCAGCATTGGCCACTGTGGACATCAGCAGCTTACTGTTTTGCTTTCCTGACAGGCTGCTGAGCTGAGCTGCCTTTCTCAGGGCCACATTAGGCTCAAGAGCCAATGCAAAAAAAGCTGCAGCTAGCATGGCTAGGAGAGGGGAGCAAGAGTGCCTTTTCTGAGCTGTAAGGCGAATTTTATCATTAAAAGGCTGCTCAGCAACAGCATGGACTTCAAATGCATTTAATCCAAGTCATAAAATCTGAGTAGCTCTGGAAGAGAAGGGGATGTGAAATAGACATTACAAAAATAAGCAGGGTGGAGGGACTAGAAGAAACAAAAGACCATAGGAGAATGGTCTGGTCTGTTGCATAATGTATTTTGAACATCTCAGGACATCTGTAAGCTCACAACAAAATAAGTCTTAATAAAGTCTGTTCTCTATAGAAGTGAATTAGGCACATTTCTTACTGGTAATATCTGGGTTGGGGGCTCTTTGTGAGGTACAGCTGTAGGAGCTGCTAACGCCAGTGACACCTGAAATTGGGTAAAGCATTGCGTACTATCATCAGCCATTAATGAGAAATACAGAAATAATGAATTAGTGCTTTGGTTAGTGAGCAAAAGCAAGTGATCAATTATGTCACTTTTACAGCTCTGTATAGTATAACACCCTTTCATATGGATCTGAGAACACAAAAATCTTACCCCCTGTGATTATCTCCTTCTCCTTTATAGTCATCCTCCCATCTCCCTTTAGATGTTCATGGGGCCAGACCCTGCTGGTGTACAAGCTGTTCAGCCTAAGTCTGTGAGGACATGCCAAGGTACCACAACTGACTGTCTTTCCCCAAGGGATCATATTTTCTCTGATTCACAAGATGGTTAAATTCTTCTCCACATAGTTCTTTATGTAGCTTCTTGGAAGCTCTTAAGAGACTTGCCTGTGAGTGTAAGCTGTGCAAGGATGATCCTGGCTAGGAGTGCCCTACTCCCATGACTGGCCCATGGCTATCTCAGTAGTAGGCTCTGCTGGAACCAAATCTTCCTGTTTGGTAATAATAATGCTTTTAACTGGAGAATTAGAAGGCAATAAAACAACCTTGCAACTCCCTTAGAAAAGCATAAAGAACTTTTTTTTTTGCATCTTTCCCGCATACGTATAAAATGCTAAGCACAATTCTTGCTCCATTTCCTCTAGTGAGGGGGTCTGCACACCTTGGAAGGGGGACTAGATGTGCCTGGCAAAGCTTTGCTGCTGTGTGCCTGTGGCCCCATAGCTTGATCAGGGGCATGTGCAGCTCCTGGGGACATCTGGCCCTGTGGCCCTTTGTCCCCCATTTTGACCTCTAGCCCCCACATTGACTGGTGCCACTCCTGTCACTCTTCCTTTTTATTTATGGCACAACCTAGCAAACAAGGCCTGATTAGACAAGTTGTCATTTTTTTTTCCCTAATCTTGACTGTATGCCTCAGGAGACTGAATTTAACCTGCTGCTCACAAGCACACATATTCTCATTTTACATTCCGGAGCTGCGTTTCAGTTTGTTCCCCCTGTGTTTCATCTGCAGAAGCTGTAGAAGCAGAATATTCTTCCTCTTCAGGATGAGTTCACTTGTTTCTTAGTGATATGTAGGAGCTAATCCCCCAAAGTCCCATATCAGGTCTATGTACCAGCACACCGGTTCCTCATGAGCAATTTGAAACGATACAGAACCGCACTTTGGTGCATTCAGCTGGGGACATTGCAAAATGAAGATGTAATTTAGCAGCTCGTCCTGAAATGATGCAGTTCTTTTTGAAAATAGGAATAAAAGTTTTCCTGTCACTCAACAAAGCATGAGCTGGTGAGTGCCCTGCTGAGGACAGGTTCTGAACCACAGCAGCTTGGTTGTTTCCAGGCCAAGTGAAGGTACAGCAGAAAGTCAGCCCCCACTGGACCTTGCAGGGGCTCCAAGCAAAAATTTATTTTTTTGCTTATTTTCAAATTTGTGAGCTGAACTAAGCTTGCAACAAATTTTGTGTGGTCAGCGGTGCAATTTCAGAACGAGTAACCAGGGAAAAAAAGGAGGTAGAATGCTAATGTGTGTGTTTTAGGGGGGAGGTAAGAAGTGCAGTGTTTGGAAGTAGCTGTTCGATTTGCAGGTTTTCCGGAGTTAAAATATTCATTGTTTCAGTCCAGGCAAGTCTGTAATTTTGGGGTGCTATTATGAATATAAATAGAGTACTACGGAGATTCTCTAGCTCTCTACCCATGAGACTTAAGCATACTTTTTCCCTACTTAACCATGAGAAGGTTTTCATGCTGCATGGCTTTTGGAGGTACTGAAGGTGCTCACAGTCTAGACTGACTATCATTTTCTCCCCATCTGCAGCTGTCCAGTCAAGGACTATTCTGTGTAACCAGTAGCACTTTATAATTAGACTCATCAATAAGAGCACGTAATTCATATTAGGACAAAAAAAATGTTTCAGATAATTTAGCAAGTGGCATCTGGGTTATTGCCAGCTGCAACTGGATCTTCTGGGTCTCTCAGCTGGGGACCTTCTGTGCAATTGAAACCATCTTTGAAATGGCTGACGCTCACCCAGATTAACTCCAGTTATCTTAACTTTCTGTTTTCTGCTTATTTTAATGCTGGTTGATTCTCCTGGATTTCCTCCTCTCCTTATTAATTATACATCGGAAAGATAACAAAATATTACAAAGTACTGTCATGTCTGTGGAATCCAGCATATTGGATTTTTTGCCTGGAGTGTCAAGCAAGATTAATTATTCTGATAATAGCAGAATTATTGCATTTATCACATACAGTAAAAAGATACTGTTAACATCCAGGCTGAGTTATTCTTGGTCTTAAGAGGCACAAATGGCAGACCTGGCATTTAGAGGGCTTTTGTGCCTTTAAAAAGCCCAGTCCCCCTGTTACCTTCTCCTGCTCCTTGGGCCAAATTCTTGCTGCAGGGCTGGCTGTTACCATGGTGGCAGAAGGCAGTCCTGCAGAGAGTTGTGTAGGTATGAATGTTTGGCAGAGCACTAGCATTTGAGGTAGACAGTATAATTACTCAGTCATTCAACACTAAAAAAAAAAAAAAGTGATTTTGTTTTTCTCTGATTGCCTTAGTTCCTGCTTACCTATGGCGAGATTGTCAAGATCTGTTGCACAGCTTCTGAAAGCTAATTTGAGGTCAGCTTGTGAGTCAGAATTGATTCTTGATTTTTGTCAACTGTGAGCTGGAGCTGAAGGGTTTGTTTTGGGAAGAAGGAGAGCAGCCGCATTTGTGTGCTGGTCTCAGTGGCCGCTCTAGCAGTCAGCATCTTCTGAGCTGGCCTCCAAGTTCCTGTGTTTCCTCTGAATTGGTAAAAGGAGTTAAAAAGGAGCGGGATCCTTTCAACTTCAACCCCATCTTTTCCAATGTTTTTCAATTTCGGTGTTACTACAAAGGAAAAGGAAAAGCAAGTTAGGTCTCTGGAATGCACCCTCATTAAAAGGAGGCTGGTAACCAGCCTGCTGTGTGACCATAGTCCGTCTCAGCTCATGCATTTGCAACTGAAACACCTCGACTTTCTGGAAGTCTCTAAATGGATGGCTTTCAGTCGGAGCAGTACACAGACATTATAAACCCTGCAATTACTTTTACTGTAGGGCCATAAAATATAGATCTGTTAAAGTCTGGGGGCAGAACACGCAGGCGTCCTGCAGTTCCGACCAGGGCAGATTAGAGTCTATTACAGATGATGAAAACAAGGTACTAGAAAATCCATTAGAGCTATTTGTTGCCACTTGCAATGATAGTCCCTGTAACCACATTAAATCAAAACATCTCTGGGACTTCATTACAAATTTCTTTTATCAATACTGTATGCTGATATAAATAATAGCATAACAAAATCAGGTAGAAGAAATTATATTGCTCTGTATGGTTTAGGGATTTGTGATCAATTATTTAGCATTTATATCAGAGAAGCACTTAATGTTTTCCATTGGGGTGGGATGTTGTACTGCTAGGAACCATGTACATATTGAGCAAATGAAAATCGCTGGCCCAAAGTGCTTTGACCATCTAAATTGGGTTAAGGACAAAGTGTGTAAAATGAGAGAGTAAAAATGATTAAAGTCCTCTCTAGATACTGCTGCTCTGGGACTGAAACTACACTCATATCCAGTAAGAGAATGGAAAGAAGCATCTGCTTTTGAACTCTAGGAAACAGCAAAAAAGAGACTGACAGAAACCTGTGGTCACTGAGTGTAACACACCTTGCTCTTCAAAGCCCCCTCCTTTTCTCACATGCTGTCTACCAACATAAATAATGCTGGCTTGTGTCACTTCTGGCAATAACAAGGTTGGCCATCAGTGGTTCATGAAGGGAAGCAAGAACAGTATGTTTTCATGGTAAGAAGTGGAACAAGATTGTCATTGTGCTTTACACAAGAGTCTGGAGGGAAAACTAGCCTTGTTCTTCCTGATTCCATCAGGAGGTTTGTATCTGAGATTGCAGGATCTATGAGTTCAAGACATTAAAAAGAGATATGAATCAGGCATGCCAGAAAAGTTCAGTGAAAGTAATATGAACCCAAAACAATGACTTTTTTTCCCCCCACAGCTCTGTTTGCAGTATGCAATTATCATGAGCTTGTTGGCAGTCCTGTAATAATTAGGCACAGCAGCGTGAGTGAAGAACGTATCAATCTTAGCTTACAGTTTCTTTGGTTTTTATGGTTTATGCTGACCTCATTATACTTAAATAGTAGTATGCATCTTTGTGAAAAATGTGCAAAATGAAAAAAAAAATCAATATAAGCTATAGTGGATCCCTCAATTTCTAGTATAAACATACAATTTGCATTTTAGAAGCCAAAGATTCATACAACCAGATTTTAACCCTAAAAACTATGATTTGCTAACATAGATGAGCAGATATATCTGCATTAGAGATCATTAGTTTCAAAATAATTTTAAACAATAAATCTGAAACCCAGACTTGTAAAATGCTACATTCGCAGTGACTGTCTTTGTGGGTACAGTTCACATAATGAGGACAGACTTGAAGTACCTAAAGGATGTGAAAATCCAGTTCTTACTCAAGGTACCTTTACAAATCTCAGCTTGTTTATTCAATGCATTCACCTCTCGCATTTGTCCCTGTGACACAGATGTGTCAGGGAAACACATTTCTGTACTGAAGGACAAACTGCTGCAATTAAGAGTTTTCCTGGAGTTTTCTGTTGAGATTCATGTGGGGGCAGATGGAGCCACGCTTTGGTCTTCTGCAGACCTTGAGGGGCAGAGTTCTGTTTGTCTCCGTCTCTTCCCAAATTCTGGGCAGCTGGAGTTGATACCATCCCAGCACCCCTGCCTAGGCAGAAGCAAAGTCTTCCTTAGCAATACTAGTTCTTGAGCCAAATCCGCAGTCTTCCTATCAGCCATGCATCCTGGCTGGCCCCCAGACAACAAGCAGCGACTGATCCTCTACTCTTCTTTGGGGCTGAAAGTCTGAATTTGAATTTTGAAAAATCTTCAGAATTTTTAAAAACAAGAGTGGAGGTGATATCCTAACCAAAGAGAGCCTTTGGGGCTGTTGCAATTCCTACTTTGGCTCTGAATCAGTCCAATCCCAGAGACAGGCTGAATGTAGTCTGTCCACATTATTGGCATGTATGTGGAACGTGAGGGACCCTACAACTGGGTATTACAGCACTATGTCAGTATTGTCCCTTTTTATTTCCACTCTACTGTGCGGTGGTACCAGAAAGGTGGATTTATTGATTATTTGCCAAAAGGCTATGGATTAAATAAACAAACGACCTCCCTGCCTTCACCTGCCTGAGACTCTCCAAATTGCTTATCTGCATGCCATATAACAAAGCCAAAAGGCAGGAAACCTTCCTGCCCTCACACTGTTGGCATGATACAGCCAATGTCCCTAGTCTCTAGTATCCCTAAGAATGAAAATTATGAGGTTTAGCTGAGACTCCTGAAAACAACCTTGAGCATGGCTTCTAAGCACCTCAAGAGTTTTTTATATGCATACGGATGTGTACATATGTATGCATATATAAATATAAAAAAAAAAAAAGTTAACAGACCCATTCAACTTCCATTCCTGACTAGTGGAGTATTTCCATTGGGTTTAAGGGAGAGTAGAATCAAGCCTCAGTTCAGGAAAGTGCTTCAGTCTGAGGTTTGAAGAGGTTACTTGTCCCAGAAACTTCAATTAGGCATGTCAGCAAATCCTTTGCTGACTAAGGACTTCCACAGCTCAGCTGTTGTAGAGGGCAGCATCCAAGCTGGATGCTATAGGATGTTGACCTCTCTCGAGAACTCCATGCAGCAGCCAACCATCTGCAAAACATGCAGAGTAATCATAATAATTCCCTTGGCAGCCTATTTCAGGGAGGAAAGGGAAAAGAAAGAGTAGAAAAAAGAAGGAAATTCATTTTAGGTTGCATCGAAATACTCTCACAATAATTGCCTTCACATTTTTGAGTTTGGGGCTATATATTAAAACATTTCTACTCTCAACATGGAATGTTATAACAAGGTTTTCAGAGTTAATGAATGGTATGAGAGGAAAAAGAAAACCCATCGTACTAGTTTTGTATTCTTCCCCATTGACAAATGTAAATCTTGACCCTTAGGAGGAAGCATGTTTTAGGGATAGTTAGCACTGTATACAAGTTCCACTCACTTGACACAATTAATTTTCATGTCTTCTTGTAGGGATTGCCAACTTCTCTGACCTCATGAGCAATTTACTGAAATCTTTGTATGCCTAAGAGCCTGTTGTCCCAGAACCTATATGAATCCACTAGGTACGAAAGGTGTACAATAATAGGATCACGTCTTCCTTCAAGTTATCTTTAATAAAGCTTTTGTTTGTTTGATTCTATGGGAGAAAAGGACATTTTTTTTCTTCTTTTCTTTCTGAAGCACTGATATATATGATACACCGGGTTACCTCATACTGACGCATTGATATGCCTGATACACTGGTATTGCTACACCTGACACACTGAACTCATTTGCTCCTCTGGGAGCACTGATGGCAGTCACTCTTTTGCTGAATGCTGCATCTGGTTGGGGACTACTGGGTAATGAGCAGCATGATCAGGCCACAACTATTTTATGTGGGAGGCCTATTTACACAGGAGAGGTCAGAGGGTGGTGGTGGCCCCGTGCAGAAGTGAAAGTCTGGCAAGCTGAATTTGAAGTAAGTGTATGCTTTTTCCAGGTTGAGTTCTGAAATACATTGAGCATACAAATGGAGGAACAGAAAGTAAAATGAGAGTATTGTATGTATGATGTGTACTAACCCTTTAAATACTTTGTGAGCCCTCTAGTGGTGCTCGTTGAGCCCTGGAAACCTCCAGGAGCTGGCTGGAGCCACGTAGTCCTTTAGCCCATCTTGTTAACAAGAACACTGTTCTTTGGGGTTCAGTGTGCACATCTTCTTATTTCAAGTTCTTACTAAAATCACAGAGATAAGAGCTTTATTTCTACCTCCCTGTGATAAAATGTTCTTCAGAATGTAAGGAGGAACTCACTGAAGCCACTCGTCCCATTTAGTCTTCCTTATAGCTGGTTAGCAAGAGGTCCCTGCTCCTCAGCAGGTGCTGGAGAGATCCCACCATGCTCCCATGGCATAGTTCAAAACTGCAGGTGTCCACACTGGTCTTCTGTAGAGATGACAATATAACTACTCTCTGTGCTGCTGTCCCCACGGGGTGGAAATTATGCCTGGCTGCCCACATGCAGAGCTGCTGCTGTCTGGCTCCTGAGGCTGTACCAGGACTCTGCTCTCATCAAGGCACACAGCTGCCATGTCCCAGGTGGCTGTGGCCAATGAAGGCAACGTCCTGCCTACCATGGCAGATATAGGTCTGTTTTTTGGCATGTCACACTGGCTGGGGTTCACTAAAGCAGTGTGGTAAGGATACAGCACTGCAAGCTAGAATTCATATGGAGATGAATAATGTGTCTGGAAAAATGTGTCTTAAGCCTCTTTTTTATTATTATTTATTTATTTATTTGTTTTTCCTGAAAGAGCTCAGCTATGGTATTTCTATAGAGGGAAAAGCATCATTCTGCTTTTATTCTAAACACAATTCAGAATGCTCCTTTATTTTTATTTTTTTTTAAATTGACTCATAAAGTCTCCAGGAGGGCACCAATTAGTGAAATAAACCTATAATCCTCAGTGCAGTGCCTGCTATAGGACTGCTGTTTAACAGCCTTCTTGCTAATCAATTCTCTTCAGTCACCCAAATGCCATAGCTGCTATGTAAATAAATGCAAGTTTAAGAGTGCTCTTCATTGAGTGGTTAAAACTATGCTCCTTCTATGCAACCATAAAATCAGCATGTATGTTAACAGATATTTAATCTGCCTTGTACAAATGACTTTTCTTATTTGATTGTGGAGCTTGAGAAAAACAGAAACAGGAAAAAGCAATAAACTGTTCTTCTTGTGCAACATTTAAAAAATCTGATACTTCTTTGGAAGCCCAGACGTAGAACAGAGATACATATTTTAGTGTCACAGGAACATCTACAATTTTGGTTGTTGTTTAACTTCCATTGTAAATTTTAAGCCAGACTTCCATCATTCAACTTTCTGAATAAAAGATCTGCTTCTCATAATCTTTTTCATGTGTGACATCCATCCAGAGGAGTTGTTTTTTTTTTTCCTTTACAAGTTGATGTTGTGGTGAAATACACGGTAAGTGTAGCTTGAAATGAGGTGGTGTGCAGAATCCTATCAAAGGCAAATGGAACCCAGATCCATTGAGGATGATGGGGGAAAAAAATCTTTAATGAAACTAGAATTTCACCTTTAGTGTTTGATGTGTGAGTGAAAAATACCGTTTTACTAATAATGTTTTTGTCCTAAGCAGGATCACAGGAAACTGGACAGGAGAGTCTATGTATCACGTCTCTTCTGGTTTGTCTTCAGGCAAGAGCAGTGATGCTCAAAAAGGGATGATCAAACACTTAACAGTTTCAATACTATATCCAGGTATCCTTTAACACAAAGATCAGTGTATTGTCTCCAGAAGAAAATGAAGGCAGAAAGAGATGAGATGACTTGCCCTAAACTATCCATCTGAACTTGAATTAAAGCACAGGTCTTGTGTGTTTGTGGAAATGAGCTGAGATTTAAAACAAAGTAAATAAGATGATGCTGCATCCTGCAAGTTTCACCGAGTTTCTCACTTAACATTATCTTTCTGTTTTCATACTGATGTTGGGTAATAAATGAAGAATAAGTCAAGGAATCATACAATCATAGTATGGCTTGGGTTGGAAAGGACCTTAAAGATCATCTAACTCCAACCAAATGAAACAGTTTGTTTGAGTGCCTACGATTTAAGAGTTTTTTGAATCTCTGAAGTTCCATTATCATGCCTATGTAAGGAAATTTATCCTTCCCTCTTAATTTTTTTATTTCAGTGTGAGTTTTGTTTTTCATTTCTTATGATGTTTGCAATGCATATCTTGGGGAACTTCAAACACTCATTCTTTCTACAGATAAACAATCTTAATTATATAAATTCCTTTTCAATTATGAAAACATATTAATGTAGCAATGCCTTGTACATTAATGATAACTAAATTGCACATATAATATTTATTAATATTTTATAATGTAGGACATGAGCTTGTCACTGGTTAAAATCATGAGTCAACTGAGGTAAACTAAACTGACAAGCTATAGGCATCATCATTGACACCCAAGATTTTCATAAAGATGAAACAAACATGCCACACTTTTCACTCCCCTGATGTTATCAATTTACAACCAACTGCTGATTTGCTTCTAAGCACACATACACATGAACTTTTCAGCATTTTATGAAATATAAGGAATTGAACCTGTTTCCATAGTGAAATCTGTAGTTTAATTAATAGCCAAGTGATTACAGGATATATTTATAACCCAGCAAGATTGTTTAAAGAAGAATCTTTCTGAATTCAGTAACATGAAAAGGTGTTAAGCTGACCCTGGAAATACATCCCACTGCAAACGAGTGCACATGAGGCTGGTTATGTGAAAAATTAGAACTGAACAGGACTTAGTGAGGCCTGGTAAAATTCCATGATATTAGAACAGAATAACTGCTCTGAAGAATATTTTAAATTTAAATTTTAAAATTAAATGTAATTTTTTAAAGTTTATTTCAATTTTATATTTAGTATGAGATGGTCAGAAATTTTAAGTGGAATTAAAACAGGGAAAGTGGAAGGCAAACATCAGGACTGTGTGATTTAAAAAAAAAAAAAGCTTGGAACATATTGTTTATTCTTTACTTTTAAATGTAAACAACAAAAATTAGCATTTTTATACAAATTATTTATGTAAAGTTCAATGGTAACAATGGCACAGAACAGACAACTGAAGGCCATTATTGCTCCCTCTTCATTTCTGCTGTCCTACCTGTGTGAAGGGAAGTACGTAGTTTTATGGGGTTGTAGGTTTTTGCTTGTGGTCCACTGACTCCTGAGTTCAGAGATTACTTCTGCAGGGGCTTCCAGGAGGTGACTTGACAAGGACTAGCCCTGGTGAGCTAAAATAAGCCTCTATGAATGTTGCCCCCCTTTATGCCCTGCTCCTTCCAAACCAGAGAGCTCACAGGCACAGGGAGGGTGCCTTCACATTAAAAGCAGCTCTGTCAATCTGGCACCTGACTTATACTGTAAAAAAAAGGCCCTGTTCCCTCTTCCTCTCCTCTCTCCCCAGCAGCAGGTATTCCTTCTGCCTCCTCATATTGGCATTGACAATCATGTGGCCTTAGGGTTGACTCAGCTGACAGATTGACATATCTAGCAGCAAACTGCTCTTTTATTTGCATATTTATATATGAGCAGTGAGCAGTGTTAGGTTTCTACTGGAACAATTCTCCATATTGATTTGCTCCAGGGCTGTCTGATTGATAGAGCCATCCCATGGGGAATGGGGCGAGAGCATGTGGCTGGGGGAGGAGAGAGGATGAGGAGCAGGATGTCCTCCTTCTGCCTTGGCAGGACTCAATGGGATGCAAAACTCTAAAGAGAAGATGAAGCTCAGTGGCAAGTAAAGCCAACCAGAGCTGGTATTGCTGGTGTCCTGCCTGTTCCCTGTCTCCCATCCTGTACTCCTGTCCTGTCCTTGCACCATCTCCAGGACTCAGCTGAGCAGGCAGTGAGATGACTGCAGGAGAAGACTTTGCAGAAAGCTCAACATTTCTTTGCAGTGCTCATTGTCAGCTGCATTGGCTGAAATGCATTTCTCTGGCTTGCTGCATATGCAGGCAAGAGCCCATCCATCCTTGTGGAAGGGAGCAGACAGGGCAGGGCAGGAACACAGGTCCACAGCAGATGGGACACAGATGAGCTTGAGGACTTTTGGAAGTGCCCCTGAGATATCCAGAGGAAATCATGAGCTCTAGCTTTGAGATCACGTCCTAGAGAGCACCTCCCACCCCCAAGTGTTCAGGGTATCTCTATTCCCACTCTCTGTTCCCACTTACTTCAGTCCACATCATTCTACTCTTAAGAAACAGAAGCCTCCTTATGGCAAGAATTGTGGATCGATTTTAAAGCACATGAAGCCAGCTGAAGACAAAATGCATGTGACAGCTATCACAAAACTGCAGCTTTAACAGTCTTAACTGATGGCAGCCTAGATGTCAGAACAGTGTCAAAAAAAGTCAGATGCACTGCTGTGGCAAGCGTCAAAACCAGACATGATGAGAAGTACCCTTTCTGTACGTACACGCATGCATCCCAGAAGCCAGAACTGTCTTTCTGCACTTGGCCTGTAAAAACTTACTTCTTATGCTACACATGCCAGTTCAGTTTTGTTTTCTTCTACATGATGAACAAATGTGAGCATTTGGGTTTAGTAAGACACAGCTGTGAGATACCTCTGACAGGGGCTGCGCACAAATACTCTCCAAACTAAGACAATCCAGCCTTCTGTAACCTGGATGTCGTATAGGCTTTCAGAAGATGTATGGAGCTTGTGAAATAGAACAGCAAGTTTAATTAAAAAAGCAAAAATCAACTATGAAAGCAGCTATGAGAGTAACTAGAAGTTTAAAACAGACAGTAACTATGCCTTCTTGAGATACAAAGAATTATCTGTTACAGGTTTGATTTATCACTGGATTATGCCAGCTTTATGCTAGTATAGAAACAGGATGATAGAGCCATGCTGAATATCACTAGGTATGCATCCCTTCAGTTCTTCATACACTCTCATAGGCATAAAAACAGCTAATAGTTGTGCAAATCAAAGAAAAACCTATAAAAATGAAATGGTAGAGACGTCAGATGCAGGGAAAGATAATACTCCTTGATCAGTGCAGATTTACTGCAGTGATCCATCCTGAGGGGCAAGAGAAATTTATTGAAGAGCTAATTTTCAGTAAGATAAAGACCTCTTGCAAAGCAGCATTAAAAAGTCTTTGGTAGGTAATTAAAACAGATGGATAGTTTCGTAAATACTCTAAATATACACCTTATATGTTGGACTATCTTATGCTATTTAATGCTTACAGCTCTTCAAACCTTATTCTGTTCTTCTTGATCTTGTTGTACAGTACTTTATTAGCTTTGGAGACCCTTTGATTCATAGTAACTTACTTACAGGATAATATTCTATTCAGCAGAAACAAGCATGTGACCTTCTCTGTAATAGCAACATATTCTAAGTGGATATTATGCCACGCGTTGCAAAATTTGTATTCTTCACATGGAATATGCCTCATGTCATGAGAATTCATACTTCTTTAAAATTACATGAGGTTTTATCAAGTGCAAAAGGCATTATGAATTACACTTAAAAACACTCCGAAGTTCTGGAAATGCCAATGAACCTGATTTCCAAGTGTCTTTATTTGAACAAAATCTTCAATATGCTGAGTGCTTGATAGGCTGGAACAATGCAGGAAAAGAATTTGTAAAAAGGGGTCCAGCATGGCTGGGATTAGCTTACTGTGAGAAAAGTATACCTTCTATGGTAGCAGGATGTGTTAATAATGCAGTTACAAATGGCTTAGTTTAATTTTATCTATGATCTGTTACATTTATCTATGTAAAATATTGCAAATGTATTCCTTACGTGATTGTTTCAAAGAAATATTTGGCTTACATGCAGTCAGTAACAATCAGTGGCAATGTTACTTTTACAGTAAATGTACGTGAAGTTTATGGGCAACAGCACAGTGGGACATAAAGATATCATTTGGCATTTCCAAGTTTTATGAGTCTTCCACAGAAGAAACTTCTGAGAAGCCTATTTACCCATGTAGATATCTGTACACAGTCATTTACTGTAAGTGAAAGCAGATTTGTGTCATCTGTTACGTTTACTTTGATTGACTATAGATTGCTTGCCCTTTGATTGCTGCTAATGTTCTGTGGAGCCATTTGTTTTCTTGCTGAGTTAATGATATTAAAGGAAAAGGTATTACTTTCTTCTTAGGATGAATTAATTTTATAAGTCTTTACTTAAAAGGGAAAACAAAAACGCTGACCATATTGCCTATTCTCTCACCTGGCCACTTTAGGAGCATGCATGAACACAGGCTCCTGGGACAAGGAGCTTATTACAGATTAAGGAAGAACATCTTTGTGAGAACCCCCTTGCTAAATTATTGGCAACAAATCACGTGTCCTGTAGGACAGACAGCACTTGCATTTTTCTTGGCAAAAACTGGAGGGAACCTGGTCTAAATTCATCTCCTACCTCTCCTGAAAAGTTTTAATAAAGGCCTAATTGTGAAGGGGTCTCCAAGTAATGAGTTGTGGCTGGTGGGAGTATCCCAGTCTGGGGAAAATAACTCTTCTGTTGCATATTTCAGAGTCTTTGCAATTAAGAACACATCCTTGAATAATTTTTAAAAAGAAGCATAAATAAGTACATGAAGATGTGATCACCCAGTGATTGCTTCTTGTAATGGCTCCCTGCCCTCTTTATACCTTGTTATCCCCCGTGGCCCAGGCTCTGACTTCCTTCCTTTTGAAAGCGTGTCAGGCTCGGGAACCCTGCAGGGACCTGAGTGCTGAGTGCTGGCGGCTGTCTTGTAGACGTGGGGCTGGACATCCCATCCCAAGCACTACAGGGCTGTAGCTTCCTGGAGGCTGTGAGACCTACAAAGCAGTAAATGGGAGAAGCCTCCAATCACACCTTCTCAGGAAGAAGCGAGAAAATGAAGGATCGGTGTTTCGTTGTCGGCATTAACCAAGGAGAGAGGCCATACCTGCTGCGGGCAAGAACCTCATCATCCTACAGTGGTGCTCTGGTGGTGATCTTCCTTCTCTTTCCAGGGAGGACCTTGTCGGCAATATTATTTTCTCCATCTGACAGATGGAAGCAGCTTTTCTATTCATGTTTCCCATTGGAGCTTTTCAATAGAAGCTGCACAGGAGAGTCTGAAGAGTCCACCACTGTCACACCACAGACGCAGAGAAAGTAATGTGGGCTTGAAGAGCTTTTCAGGAGACTCTTGAGCCTGAACTTCATTGCCTCGGTACCTGTTGTGAATGAAAATGAAGAGCTGATAAGTCTTAATGAGACGGCTATTGCAGCAAAGGGAATTTAAATCCTAAGCATGTTTTGCCTCAGTAATATGCAAAATTTTCCATTTGGTCACTGGTCTTTTTGTTTCAGAACTGTTGTAGAAATGTAAATTAGGACTAGCAACAAACAGGCTTCTGTTCCTAAGTAGTTGCTGAAGTTATGGCCATCAGATGTGAGTTTTAATTATCATTGGGAGAATTGAATAACAACATTTTTTCTTTTGTTTCAGACTGTAATTATCTCATTTTACACCTTTACGGTCACTGCTTGTTTTTATGGGCAGACTTTGTGCAATCCCTCATAGTGTGTTAAAAAAGAAACAGAAATTATGAGCACCATAATTAGAACTGAAACTAGGAAAATATCTTCCTAATAAGTGCAGATATGATGAGTAATTATAATTTATGTTGGATTTCCTATGTCTCTGTGAGTTTAACAAACAAACAAACAAACAAACAAAAACAGGTCAACAACCCCATCCTTTCTTTCACTGAAACTCTCCCCTCCCCTCCTGGCTTCTGTGAACTGTGGCAACTCTAAGGGTGACTTAAGGGTGACTTAAGGGCAACTCTGGGCTGACTTCCACAGAAGAGAGAGGAAAGCAAGGTCTGGGCACTTTGTCTTTCTGCCTTCCACTTTCTCCTGTCCCATAGAAGTGATGCTTCCTATTGCTGCCCGCAGACCCCTGGTTCAAGGGGAAAAGGAACCCTGTGTTCCTGCTCAGCAGCTTGCAAGGATGCAATAACTGAGCTGGTGAATCAGAGGACCTAGTAAATGGGAACCCATAATGCTAAGTATGTTGTGGAGCTACAGGAAGCCAACACAGAGATGTTTGTCCCCAGATCCTCTTTCCAAGCATGTCCATCCACTCTTCCTGGCTGGTCTTGTAACCTACCTGTTTTCAAGATACTACAGAAGTGCTTTAAGCAATTATTATTAATAATAATAATAAAGAGACAGTTCTTTCAAAATTAAGTGTTTATGTTTGGGAGAGGGTGTGCAAGCTTTTTTAAAAAAAAAAATAAATAATTGTAACTCAAGAGTTGTTTTACATTTTCCATCACTTGTCATGTAATTTGAGGTCTAGTGTTGCACTCAAGCAAAGGTTAAAGCTTAGAGGTTTGGGACCATCTGGTGGACCATCCACATGTTATCATTCTGTCCTTTCAGTGATGACTCAGACATCAAAGATTTTGTGCTTTTATGATTTTTCTTTCTATTTGGCTTACATTGATATTAACGTACACATAAAAGTTAAGAAGTCAATAGATATAATATGTATCATTAGTATCTGTGTTGAATGATTTGTGAGATGAGTGCTTTTTCTCTGTCTTTCTCTCCTCCCCTGCATTTCCATGGAATAAGAAACTGGTAATATGCCTGAAAACCTCTTTCAAAATGTTGCTTCACAATCAGTAACTAGAAAGATCAGAATATTTCCTGAAAGTATGTGGTTTGCATAAGGTCACACTAAAGATCAAATGGAAAAATTGCACTGTGTACGAGTATAAATATATGGTTCTTTTGCCCACTAAGTCTGCTTTTTTGTCATTTTGAATATTTCCTGGCAAAAATCCTAATTATTATACCTTTCTGTACTTTAATATGCACACATCTGTATTTATATACTTACCCATATATGTAGTATGTGCAAAATACTTGCATTTTCAGATGTGATGGCAGCAGTTTAGTTACTTCAGAAAATTAACAGTAATAAAAAGTTGCATTTTTTTGGAAAAACAACAAATAGTGAATAAAGATTAGATTTTGAAAAACTATATAGAAAATACGCTGCTACAGTAAGCACTAGCTATTGTTCATCACAGCACTGTTGGGTAGTTGCCTACAGATGTGGAAGTGTGGCAGTTGTCCTTGAACACTACCAAGGCTTGCATGCTCCTACTTTTTCTCCAGATTGTTAATAGTGAACAAATGTTAACAATTGAACAAGAAGGTAAATAAAATAAATGGAATATCAGAATACCAGTCTTAATAATGCTTTGGAAGCTGTAGACCTACAATGTGTTGTCTGTTTTATAGTGTATCTGAAGTTCATCTGAAAGTTGGAAGGGTCTGCAGGAAGTCATCTACTATACCTAAGAGATAACAATGTAAATCAATTTTTGTGGCAATTAAGGTATGTGTGGTGAAAACAGAGATGCATGTTTAGATTAGTCAGTTATGCTAGGTATTATAGGCGCTGAAACTTTAAGAATTGATTGCCAAATTTGTTTTTATTCACATTCTGGGCAAATGTTTGGGAATGTGAGAAGAGTCATTAGCAGCACTTCTTTCAGCACATACCAGTGTAATGATTAGCAAAACATCTGAAAACATGCTATGCAGTCTTTTATAGAACTGGCTGCTCATTTGAGCCAATAATTTTGTCTTGCATTTTGTCATATTTTGTCTTTCCTCTGTTAAAACTATTCTAGTCTCCTAAAACAGCATTTTTCCACTTTTATTTTTTTTTTTTTTTGGTCCTAACCCTTCACACTGGAGATTAAAATGAAATATATGATGGAACCATCAGCTCTCTGAATCAGCAGGAATATTCACACAGAGTTAATTGCACATCAAAGAAGCATTTTGAATGGTTATTGTAACCCCACAGCACTCTGGTGATTACAAAAAAATGCATTGACAGAAATCACCGTTATTCACAGTATTATCTTTTCTGTTTTGCTTATGGCAAGGCATAGGATTATAATTTATCATAGTTCACTTCTGAAGTCTGATGTTGTCATGTAAAGACAAGCAGAGCAGGTGTTGTTATGATGATTATTATTAACACTGTTATTGATATTGTTTATATATTAAAGCCTGTTTCAGAGAGTACCTACATGCATGCTTTAGTCCCATGGAGCTAAGAGAATCTCTGAGTTCTCCATGCTTGTTTAAATGTTATTCTAAACAGGGATGAACCTGAACATATGTTTAAGTGCTTCACTGAACTGGAGCCTACTAGAGATAGGAAAAGTCTCATTTTCTTCATGGGACAAACCTTTGTTCATTCCAGCTAGACCATGCAGGCATAAATCATGCTGAGCAACCAAAGAAGTATCTCCCTGCATAAATTCCTGGATTGCTTAAACTTAACACCTAATTACAGAGCTGGTGAACCTAGATACACTGAAGGCGGTTTGAAAGGCTGCCTGAAACATCATGGGCTGAGATGCCTTTGTCGGGAGCATTGTGCTGTGATGTGTAACGTGGGCAGATTCCTGTGGGATGTTGACAGTTTGTGGGAAATGAATGTAGGAGGAACTGGGTTACAAAGACCAGGCTTTTTTCTTTAATATTTTTTCTCTGTCATTGTACTGTTTGTGGGCTTGGGGATTTTTTGCTTGTATTGTGTTTTTTTTTTTTTTTTTTTTTTTTTTTTTGTGTGTGTTTTTTTTGTTTGTTTGTTTGTTTTTTTGTCTCTTTAGGGTAAGGGGAAGGAGGACCTTCTGGTTTGGAAAAATGTACCCAATAAATGCTGCATGTCATGAGTCACTTGTTCCTGAAGATTTGATACTACATGGTTCCTTCCTTCCCCAGAAGATGCTGGTTGATGCTCCTGAAAGCTATCGTGTTCATTTTTTGCTCATGGCATTTATATGGAGTGATAATCACTTGATAAGCCATGGATTTATGTAATAAATTAATTAGCTCTGCAGTGTTTCTTCAACTCTCTGCCTGCCAGTCTGTCTCCACTGGGACTTGTTCAGTTTTTCCAAACAGGTACAAATAGCTCTCAGTATTATTATTTTCTTATAAATCATTTGTAAGGAAAATGATTTCTCCTCTTCTCACCAGAAGGGGAAGCTTCCTTCCCTTTTATTCTGGCCTGAGGCATAGGGTGGATGAGATTTACTTGTCTCAGCAGTGGGTTCTCTGCATGCAAACACATAGAGTGTAAAGTTCAATAGCTTACAGCAATGAAAGGATAGAGCCAGAAGCTTTGTCATTGGAAAAGGGTGAATCTTACCTCCATGAATAACTCGTGACTCTTGTCTCTAATGTCAGCAGGGCATGAGATACCATATTTGAAATTGTAATGCCTTCAGGTATAGAAAAATAATTTTCATGCCACTCTTTCTCTTACTTCCCTTTTTCTCTTCTGTCTGTATTCTGGAAATGGCATATGGTATTAGATCGGGATCTGTTTAAGCTAAAGAAGGTACAGATAACATATTGACAATTATTTCTTGAACTTAATGAATCTGTATATTCAAATTTTCTTTATAAGGGTTCAGTCTATTTTAATCCTGCTAGAAGAAAGAGTTCCAGAGAATATATTTTTTTAATTTGTGTTGTATGAAAAAAATGCCGTCTTTTATCACTCCTTACAGATATTTATTGTGTAATACTTACACTTTCTGATTGAGAGAAATGTTGAGCAGGAGCACAGGATATTTAATTTGTATTAGAGTCATCATATTACAGCCTTAAGTATATTCCATTTTATTTTGTCTTTAAGTTAAATGGACTTAATCCTTCTTATATTTCCATATAGAAAATTCTTCATTCCTCTACTTATTTTAATTATTTTTATTTCATTCATCTCTGTTACTGTATCATCTCCTATAAATGTACTGACCAAAACTGAACGCGGCATCCCAATTGGCAGCATATTATTCATTTATGTATCACATTAAGCTTCTTATAATGTATTTTCCACCATATTTCTAATGCCTCATAATATATCATTTGCCTTTTTGTTGTGACATACTGTACATAAGTTTTTCTGCAGACCTGGAGTCACCCAGACCTTCTCCAGAGTGTCACAGTTTAAATGTCAGAAAAGTGTTTGCGACTTCCCAGTCACTGCTACTAGTGTTAGTCATTTTTTATTTAGCAGTTTGTGATGTGTTGCCATTCACCTGGTCTTGGTAGAGTCCCCCTCATGTTTCTTCCTCAATTTTGGCCAATACTTTGTGTGTGTATTCTGCAGATGCTTCCCCCTTAACCACTTAGGTTTTTCTTGGGATCATTCCCATCAACAGCACTGCTAAAAGACAGGAAACACACTGCCCCACTTTCTGCTAGGCCATCGAGATTGGTTGTTCTTACTCTTCATTTCACGCGTCTATGCTGTGCTCCAGCTGTTAGTGCAGAGCTGTTGCTGGAGCTCATGCAGGCACATCTGAACTGCCTTTGAACTTGTTAGCTCAGGTAAAGCTGGCAGCAGCAGGCAGTGTGGGAGGCTGTGAGCCCTCCTGGCTTGCACAGACTTCAGATAGGTAGCTGTGATGATCTCTGTGCTGATACACCTACCCTCCTGCAGTATGGGAGCTAGCTAGCCAGAAATGACGTACATTGCTCCTCAACCTTCAGATGCACCTCTGAGTGCAATTTGTTCATAGCCATCATATCTCAGTCAGGAAGAGGGTTTATCTGCCATTCCAGACTGACGCATGTGTTAAATAGCCTTTCTGGAAAAAAATATTGTCACAGGTTTTGTGACAGTTCTCGTGTGTTCTAGCGACTGATGTGAATCCCTTGATTCCAGCTTTTATAGGCCTCCAGTCTAACAAAATGCATCATCAGTTGTTCCGTATTAAGCTACTGTCAGAGGGATTTTTCCCACACTCAAATGCACATGCATACTCAGTGAAGGATCTCCGTGTACATACTTGACTGAAGAAATACTGCTGTTTTGCAGGATGTAAGTCTTTACGTTTCAGTTTCTCAAAATCTGCTTTCTGTAGCATGTGGAGCAGATACAGATTCCTTGGTACAGTGCTATGAAGCCCACTTGCTGATATTTGGAAATGTTGGCTGTCCTATCTGTGTAAACTCAGGCCAAAGGAACATTCAGATTAAGCAACAATTTGAGCAAGTTTAAGAGGAAGGGAGAAAATACATGTCCAGTTAGTCACCAGAGGTACACACGTATGCATGAAGTAAATCCCCAACCTGTTTTAGTAATGCACTTAGTTACTGGAAATGCAACACGAGCTTACTTTCATGAGCAAGGATGAAAGAACTTGATTAACCTTTGTACAACATTTTCCACCCACACAAAAAAGTGACATCAGATGCCTCATATGGCAAAAAAAAACAAGTCAGCATTTGGGAGATTCCAGAGCAAGAGACAGAGATCCCTCCTTACCATTACTGAAGATTTTTCACTTAACTTGCTATGTGCTTTTTGTGGGTCACTAGAAACTCCTCTTTGTGGATCTTAATGACTGATGCAGAAAGACATCCCTTCAGCCCTGTACAGAAAGCACTTTCTGCGTACTATTTTATGTTAGTGTATGCAGTATGCAATAAGCCTTTTCCATTTAAACTGAGGAATATTGTACTCTCCCAAATGTTGCTGGTAAGACCATTAGCACCAAATAGGGATTGACATAAGGTCAGTCATTAGCCATTTCTTAAGGTTAGTCGTTAGGCATCAAGAAAGATCCTAAAGACTTGGGTGTAAGAATTTAAATGAGCATGAGTGGGACAGCGAAGTAAAGCATGGGGAGACACTGTGTACCTTTGTGCAGCATTGGGGTAGATTTCAGGCCACTTCAGTGCCACCTGCAAAGCACTGCAGGATTTCCAAAGTTCAAGCTTTCTAATCTTTGCAGAGCATCTCAGTGCTAATATTTTGTGTTACTTTCAAAACAGGTTGAGGCTCAGTTCCTGTGTGACCCAGCACGCAACAAGAAAGGATTTGGTTTGTAATTGACATTTTTGACCTATGTGAACACAGATATTCCTCTTTCCTTTCTCCTGCCCCTCAAAGGTGTTTGAGAAATAAACTTTGAAGTCCTGGGAGAAGTAACATGTGCCTGTGAAGGGAGCAGGTGGGGGTGGCGGAGGTGGTGGAAGGAGTTCAGTTTGTCAACACAGGAGCCAGGAAGCCGGTTATTTATAACGTTTGTGGTGGAGAGGGGGCCAGCCCACGTGCTTTTAAAACTCATTTTAACTGCTTGCACGGTACAGTTAACTCTGCTGTTTGTAAACAAGTGTCACTTGCAGTCTTGGTTGATGGGGAGCGTGACAGGAGGCTGGTGGCTCGGTGAGTCCCTGCCTGGGCCTGGCACTGCCCCATGCCAGGGCCCAGTGTCAGCTGTGCTCCTGGGCAGGACTTTGCTGTCCCCTGGGGCAGCGCAGGCAGAGCCACACAGGACCTGTCCCTTCCTCAGAATTCAGAAATCCCTGATTGAAAATGTGGCTCTGACAGCACACAGCTGAAATTCTGAACTCATTCTTAAACCACAGAATAACTAATTTTTAGCTGGGTTTCATGACTCTTAACAAGGAGGAAGTTAATTGTGAGAGGCATATGACCATGAGACTATACTTGGCTGGACTGACTTCAAAAGAAGTAAATTTTGGGCACAAAAAGATTTGTAAAATCACTATTTCAGCAGCAGTCACATTTAGATTTTATTTTTTCTTCTGTGTGGAGCTTATAGTGAGCTATTCTTGCTGCCTGAACAGCACTCAAAGTCCCATGATGCATGCATGACACGGACTTGACACTGCTGCTATATTCTTCAGTTCAACAGCTGTGTGAAGACTGTATCATCCTGAGCTAAGAAACTCAAAAAATAGCTTTATCTCAAGAGAGGGAGCCTATGCTTTAATGTTTTGCCATGCAAACTCAAATTGTGTACTTATATGTATATACACATATGTGCATACACATGAACAGATGCATATAAACACACTCGTGTTACATTGTTCAGTACAGTTTTGTTTTAATTACATTTTCTTATAGTCAAACAACAAAACAACAGCAATAACAAAAACCCACACATACATACATACGCAAAGAAGTCCTTCTCCATTTTTTTTTTTTTAATTATTTTTACTTAAGGAGTGGGAAAAGATCTAAGCAGTTTAGACAACAGCACATCATTTGGAAGTCTGGCTCAACAGATGTGAAGCACATCAGCACAGAAGCTTCCCAGGCAGCATGAAGGAGAATTTCTGGGTGATACTTGGGCCCTGTCAGGGTTGGCAGGCTTTTTTCTACCAGCTACAGTGGAGACAGAATTTTTTCTCTTTCTGCAGAGCAGAAGCTAGGAACTAGAATAAATACCCAAGTACAGAACTGCAGGAATGTTCTGGTTTTAGTATTAGGGACCTGCTCTTGGCTCAGAAGATGGCAGAATGGACCAGAAAATAAATAATGGAACAAAAATCAGTGGTTATTTGATTGATTTCCTGGTGCTTCAGAGAAGATAGGAAATTATGATCAGCAGTAGCTCATACTTAACTTGATGGCAAGACTTACCTGAGCTTTCCCACACATAATATTGAGAGAATGCATTTGAAAACTTTTGCTCTCATTAAAACAAAACAACAAAACTAAACAAAACAGAGAACATCCATGAGAAAATTCAGAAAGGTAAATTTTGAAAGAAAAAAAGTTTAAAAGCAACAATCATTTAGAAAAGAACTATTAGAGGTCAAACACCTACGTACCCTAAAATTCAGGACACCATGAGCTCTTATAATACTACACGCAGTGATGAAAATTGCTGCATCCTCAGCAACATCATAAACTGTACTAGGTTACAATTATCAGAATTATAACTCTGGTATGGTGCTTAATGGAACTTAAAAGTTACAATTTGTATCCAATCTGTGAAGTCTTAAAAATATGGAAAGATTAAATGGATTTCCCATTTGTTTAACATGTGCATGAAAAATATATGTTCTAGCAAGCAACTTTGTTGCACTGCTCTAGTCAAGTAGACAGAACAGAAACCTATTTAGGGCTGCATAGAATGAGAAATATTTCTCATTTGTAATAATAATGTAATACTGTACAAACTTCCAGTACAATCTTTAGTTTAGATTTTTAGTCAAATATTTATATTCACAGATAGAGACAATGTATAAGCAAAAACTGTCCTGGCCATACAAAATATAAAGATGGCATCTAGTAAATTGCATAGGTATAGAACCATAGAGTCATAGAATCATAGAGTATCCTGAGCTGGAAGGGACCCACAAGGATCCAACTCCTGGCTCCACACAGGACCACCCAGAAATCAGACCATATGTCCGAGAGCGTTGTCCAAATGCTTCTTGAATTCCGGCAGGCTTGGTATCAGAGCCCAACCTTTCTCATGGGGTGGTTCGTTTTTGGAATGTAGTGCAGCTCTTCCAAGTAGATTACAAACAATGTTTTCTCTGGGAAGCACAGGAGGCTTCTCTACCTTAATATTTTCCCACATTTATATCAGGCTAATCTCTCTGCTATGCTCTTGTGTTACCTAAAATAACTGACAGCAAACAATACCTTTTGGGTCTCCCACCTATGGATTCTTGCTGATATTTTTACCCAGAATAAAATCAGGCAATCAAATCCCAGTACTTCCCTCTTGTTCAGTTGTAATAGTACAATTTTACACTCTTTATGTTTGATTGCAATTTCTTGGGATTTTACCTATGTTTTGAACTATGATCGACAAGTGATAAATTGATATCATCTGCAGATACTCTCAGTCTAACGTATCACAATAGCTATGGCTAATTGTCCAAACTGATTGCAAACAAATGTATAGGAGTTATTTTCTGCAAATTTATTTTTAAATTTTACATAATTACCATGGACTAAAATATTGGTTAACTGACAAACAAATTAATTAAGACAAATGTCTCAAAACCATGATCTCTCTTCTAGGATAGGAAATGCTATAGGAAGGCTGGTAGTGGCTAAAACTTCATTACATTTGCAGAACTTATTGGTACTGCAAGTTTGTAATATTTTTTAGTCAATCCATTTCAAGCTAGTGTGTCCTTTCCATAATGACTATGTATCCAAAACAGAAATCTGTGCTTCCTGAATTTCAGAAATATTTGGTTTCAAAATTCTGGTTCTATGTGCATTTTATGGACTTTGAATAGAATTGGATCAAAAATTCCAGATAGAAAAGTTTCAGTATGAGTGATTCATGTATGAAATTGCATACTAACATTGATCAGACTATGTTGCAAGTGTTGTGAAACTGGAATATTTGTTTTGAAATGGCACAGATACTGAAGCTGGAAAGCCTCAGCCACTTTTTTTTGGTTAACAAATTGTTTCTATCACTAAATAACTAATTTTTATATAATTTTTTTTTCTGTGCAAAATGTGTTCATGACTTATTAATGGAAAATTATGATTAGCCTCAAATTCATATTTTCTGATTTATATATTTGTAGGGCCAGAGGTGACATTTAATCAGAGAAGGAAGCAATCAGAGTTTTTCATTCTCAGCCTACCAACCCATGGTGCTACCCAAGTGCCCCGCAGAAGTCTCTCATGCACTAGTCAGCAACAAATGAGCTCATTAGATAGTTCTTCCTGCTAAAATAACCAGCTGATAACATCATATTTTAAAAAGAACAAACAATTCAACAATAATTTCTACAGCTATGAGAGTGTCCGCTATGTCAAGAGACTGTATCTACGATACACAATGGAAGTGAATTTAGGGAGAATTTAAACAAAAAGGAAACTATGTTGTGAAGAGGGACAATAAATGAGATCAAATGGAGCTGGGTCCATGAAGGCTGTCTCTCTGTAAATATGAAAAGAGGTTGTGAATGAAACTGAATTTCTCCAGGGCAGTTGGCTCCCCATGAGCAAGCACTGTGGGCTAACTGCTTTCAGACTGGGATTTTGCCAAAGTGCAGCACAGTGTGAAGAAGTTTAAGGCAGAATAAGCAAGTTAGGAGGCCAAACAGACTAAGAGAGTACTAGACATCTAGAAAGAGCATACTTTTTTTTTTTTTTTCTTTTTAATTTATTAGATGCTAGAAGACAGATTCTTTGTTCAAAATACACTGTGAAAGCAGACTTCAGCCATGCAGTGCTGGCATCTTCAGAAAGTCCTTGCCTAGATGTTAGTTGATTTTTAGTATCATACAAGTTGGGCACACAATGAGAAGTTGCAGAACACAGGCTAAAATACATAATTCAAAAGTCTTTATAAGGGTATATTAGGGCAACCTATACAGCACCCTGGTATTGCATGACCCAGCCTCACAAAAGACGCATGCAAACAAAACTTGCATGCAAAGTCCTTAGAAGGCAAACAGCACGTTAAACCACATCAAGGCCTATGTGAGCTACTTCTAAAATTTTAAGCAGCCTGCTGAAAGAGCAGTGGCAATCGTAAGAGAGACAGAAAGAGAAGATGTAATTGGCTAAAAATAATTTTACTAACAGAATGCTCTTTTGAACTACTTACTACAGCTTCATAGCAAGTGGTTTGCAATTTCAGGCTGTATTTAGCGAAGTGTTATTTGAAACAAACAAACAAACCAATGAAACAAAACAAAACAAAAGGAAGAGCAGATATAATCCTCTGTCTATTAAGTATATATGACTGGGCCAGTAGTGTTACCAACTTTTGATCTTTTGGAAAAATGTAGAATGAATGCAAAGAGAGGGAGGGTGTGGAAAGGTGTCTGATGGTGTGTTACCGAACAAGTGGGAGGAGGTGAGAGTTGTTGTTATTAAGTTGTACTAATAAAGTAGTTACAAGAGTGATTTGCATCGCAGCAGACTCCTTCCTGAGCTAAAAGGAAGGAGAGACAGTCTCACCTGTAGCCCGTCAGCTCCCATTGTAGCTGCTGGGGGCTCTGGGATACAGGGCTGCTATCCGAGGTGAGATGCTGAAGATGAGATGCTTGGAGACATCACAGCAGCCTGGCTTCAGAACAAGCAGTAAGTTGCAGCAGTTTTAATTAGAAACTGTATTGTTTGAAAACCCCTGCAAGATGTTATCCATGGCTGATGTTAAGAGAAAGTAGAGAATTATGAGACAGGACTCTCACATAAGGATTTTTTTTCATTAGTCCCTATGCATTCCCATGTCTTCAAAGAGTAGCTGTGCTATTTGTTTATTAGTTTTTATTATATTCAATGCAACCTATCTCACAGTGTCCCCTATTTTTATATTTCTGGTGTGACTCCATTATTTGTACTGAGAAAAAGTTCAATATATTGTAGAAGTTATTATAGGATGAATTATTAAATTTTCTTGTATAATATTTTAATAAATAATATCTAATGAGAAATATTAGATATAACTACTTTCACAGATGACTGGGGGGATGGCAAGCAATTTTGGCAGCTATGAAATGTTTGAGATTGTGATATATACAGGAACATTGAGGATTTTTTTAATACTAACCATGCAATACCTTGATTCAGACACAGTTTTGAAGTGAAGATCTGCAACAAGTTGCAGCAATTTGTTGACACTGCATCTACCTACCAGCGTAGATGAAGTACTTTCTGTTTATAAATGTAGAATGACTATACAGATAAATGATATTTGCTTGTTGTGCAATTAAAAAGCTAATGTTGACATTTCAATTACCATCATTAGCCTTCAGTCAGAACACCCTACTGAGATGAATGTGAATGGCTTTCAACCACTCAGAGAAATCTTGCCTCAGGCTGTCTGAAGACTTGGGCATAATTCTGCATGCTGGGCTACTGTTCAGCTAACATTTGAAAGGCTGCTCCCATCACCACAAAAGGCAGAGTCTCCAATAGGATGTAAAGGATACTTTAGCTCACAGTACAATCCCAGTTTTTCGTACTGCAAAACAATTCCAAAATTTTCATGTGCTGAGAGCTGTAACAAACTGCGGTGTTCACTACATTTCTTCAAACAAGATCCACATTCCCCTGTTGCCAACCACTCCCCACTCTCACTAAAAACCTTCTCCTCTCTGCCTCTCCTGCACACCCTATTTCCAAACCTTCTTTGCTTCCACATCTTGAAATTATTGCTTCATATAGATGCAAGTTGCTGTCCACCAAATGAAGAGCCTGCTTTACTCATATGGACGTGAACTTCTGCAGTTGGGGCAGCAGGTGGGCACACGAACCAGCACCAGACCCACCCCAAATTAAGATGCAAGATGAACTCACCCCTGGATGCCAGTCACCTGCCACTTGTCCCTGCAGTGCCTCACATCTTCAGGATCCCTCCCCTGCTTCAGAGCCCTGTGCAAGGGTGCAGCTCCTGTGTCTCAGAGTACAGGACCTGATGCCTCTGCTGCATGGAGTGAGGCTGTGACAAGCTGCAGCCAGCAATGTTTGTCTCCTACTGGCAGCCCATAGCCTCCACCTCTCCGCTGTCCCATACCATGATGAGATGAATGTCCAAGATCAGGTCCCCTGGACAAGAAAATGCCTTGATAAAGATAGTAATTAAAGTGATGGAAGAACAGCCAATGGAGAAAAGAGAAAGTGGCACATCCAAAGCCAAGTTTGTAAAGACACACAGCTGACACCAGTCATCTAAATGTCCAGACGGATTGCCCAGCACATCAGAAAAGATTTATCAGGAAAAGTCAGGAAACACTGGTTACAAGAAGGGAGAATTTAGAACAGTTGAACCCTGTATGGGGAGAGATTATCATTGAGAGTCAGCTATCATTTATGTCATATGAGTTATCCAGACGGTGTATTGCTGGGTGAAGAGATGGCGAGTGGCTCCACATGAATCACTTGGGTTCTAGATAGCCTCCTTGGCTCCAGCTCAAAGGCAGATATGCATCAACGCCATAGGCATTTATATTGTGCTACCAATGCCTGTATGATCCCAGTGTATAAATTGTCCCATCCCCTGTTTCCTAGATAATAGAGAATTGATTTTAGTGCAGAATTACACTACAAGCTTTGTACTGGCATAACTGCCGGTGTGGAAGATCATATTCAAAGTCACAATAGACTTTTTTTTATTATTTTTTTCTCTCCCCTCTCTTTATCTTATGACTATTTTTCTCATTTTACAGTCTGGCAAAACTGATGCGTAAATAGTTTAGGTGACTTATACAAAGTCACTCTTCAGGAGACTATAAGTAAAAATATAGACTAAGTTGTCTGAATCCCTTTATAAGCAGTTTTTGTCTCGTGTTTTGGCCTGACTTAGTATCATCTCACATTCCAAGGACTTGTGAGCATATATTGTCTTAAACAATGCATGACAGTGGCTGTGTGACATTTGCCAGACCTCTGAAAACTTAATGCAGAAATCTAGTAGTGATTCTAATGTGCTTTTATGTACACATCAAATCAAATCTCACTTTGGTCTACAGTTGCATTCTAGTAAGTCAGGTTTATCCCTGTCATAACTCTGTTGGCTTTAATGAAGCAGCACCAGAAACTAGGCTTGTCCATGAAATGTTAAGGTAAGTTTCAGAAATACATTTTTTAGCCAATGTGCCACTACTCTCCACAGTGGATAAAATACATTACACATTACCTGGACATTGCATGAGACATAAACAGAGATAAACACCAACAATTTGAGTGCAATGTAGAAGAAAGTAAGGTTTTTATTCATCTGATTTCTTCATGTGCTGACAGATGTCAGCAAACTGGGTGCAAACTGTGTGTTTGAAACCATGGCCAGGCACATCCAAAAAGTAAGTAACATATAAAATGACAAAAAAAAAAAAAAAAAAGAGAGAGAGAGAGAAAGGGAAAAAAAAAAACTAAAACACTGCTGGAGAGATTAAAAATACCTATTAAAAATTGATTAAATAAGAACACACATATTTAAAGTTCCTTTTTTACTTCTACCCTGCAGATAACAATAGAAAGATGAAACCATGCTTTTGGACCAGAATTCACTCTAAATCCAGGTGTATTTTTCTTCCAAATCCAACCTTAGTTTATGAGAAGATAGCAAAAAAAAATTCCTGTGAACAGTGTTTTTTCTATGCAAGGGAGGTCACTATGGCAGAAATTTCACAAGAACAGCTGGAATCATCGGATTTCCACCTTTCAGTTGGCTAGGGGCCAAAATGACCATTGATTTTTCACTTTCTGCTGGAGCCTGTAAATAATCTTTTTTTTTTTTTTTTTTTTTTCAATAGAAAAAAATAGTGTGTTACTAATTAGATGCAACAATGCTAGTCCTGATCAGATCAATTTTTGATTTTTTTCATCTTATCTATTAAGTATAGTCATGCCTACATCTTGCGCATTCAGCCTTACTTGAACTCAGATTAGATACAACTTTCTCATTTATTAATTTTTTCATTAAATGTACGGAGGATTTTTGTGTTATTATGAGCAGTAAAACAAAGCAATCAGTAAACAGGTTCAATTCCTCTATTTAAATACCTATAGAAAATAAGTTAAATAAAAAACATTTGACAGTGAATATGTCCAGTGGGAACATTTCCTTGTGTTTCACTTTATAGTGGCTAAACATTAAGTCAAGCCTTTAACTTGAATTTAATGTATTAAAGCAATTACAATCAAGGCACAAGGCTTTTTACTGGGAATTAATGACTGACTGGGAGAGTTGATGGGCCAATGTGAAGCTCAGGGACATTAACCTCAGCTAGTCATTAGTTTCCCTGAAAATTCTCTGTGCTGAAGTTGTTAGTGCTTTTTATAATCTTCTTATATATTAAATATATATAAACATTTTGCCCATCATCCAAGCAATTTTTGAAAGATACCACAGTAAGGAGACATTTAGGCAATAATGTTGTTTCCCTTGGCTTTTCTGATAAATTAAAAATGAACGGCAAAATTAAAAAAGAAACAAACCCAACCTATTTTAGAAGCAAAATATGAGATCCTTAAATGAACACTGGAAGGATTGTTGAAGAATGCCAGGACAATAATTCACAGACACAGACAGTGAGGCAGGCAGACAGCTTCTGCAGGCAGTGGCACTTGAGCAGCTGTGGTACTTGAGCATCTGTAGCAGAGCTGCTGGCAGCAATACATCTCCTCATTTCTTCCAGTGGTCCCACTAAATCAGATCACTGATGTCCCCTGCCCTGACACTCCTTGCCCTTGTTCATTGCTAGTACCTCACGTTTGTACATTTCCCCAGGAACAATTTGCCCCAAGACTCCTCCTGAATTAATTTTAACATTTGGAACAGAAAACGTTGATGGAAAATAACCACTTTCCAATTGCCAGCAGGTTGAGGGAAGTAAGCCTTCCCCTGTTGCTTGTAACTGGTGAGAAACACCAGGAGTGCTGGATTCCCAACTTTCATTCAGTTTTGGGCACTCCAGAACAGGAAAGACATGGACACACTGGAGAGAGTCCAGTGAAGGACCACAAAGATGATGAAGGACTGAAGCATCTCTCCTGTGAAGAAAGGCTGAGAGAGTTGGGACTAATCAGTCTGGGGAAGAGGATCGTGGGAATCTTTTCAAAGTCTATAAATACCTGAAGGGAGGGTGCAAAGAGTACAAAGCCCATCCTTTTTTCAGTGGTGTCCAATGACAGGGCGAGAGGCAATAGGCACTGTCTGGGACGTGGGAGGTTCCATCTGAACTTTAGGAACCACTTCTTTACTGTGCAAGCAACTGAGCCCTGGCCCCAAGAGGTTGTGGAGTCTGCCTGTTTGGCAGCCATCTGGGCATGGTCTTGGGCAACTGGCTCAAGCTGTCCTGGCTTATGAAGGGGGGTTGTACCAGATGACTTCCAGACTTCCAGAGGTCCCTTTCAACAGCCATTCTGTGATTCAGGGTCAAATGAGAGGTTTGAACACATAAAAGTTTATTTATCTGGATTTCTCTGGAAACCCTTGAGTAATGACCCAATTTCCAACATATTCTAGTTAGACAAAGGATCTGCATGTTGATAGACTCATGGGATTAGTTCCTAAGCTATTCCATTGAGTTTAAAACCAAAAAAGAACACTTGTGACCCTCGATTCTGACATGTGATATTGTGGTACTTTATATATAGCTTGACAGGCCATTTTTTGTGCATTATTAGTTATTATTAAGAATGTTCATTGCAGTAATATCTCAGGACCAATGGGGAATAGCATCCTATTGTGTTGAGGGCACTAAACAGACTGATGAGCATTTCTATGGTATTCACAGTCATTTCTTATGCCAGTTGAAACAATAAATAGATGATCCATAGAAACTACATGGAACTATAGAAAATACATATATATAGAGAGAGAGAAACTATAAGGAACAGAAATGGTGATGGCATTCTTTGTCCAGCTTTCATTTTCTGCCCTTGATGGTATTGATTTAACCTTTATGAAAATTAATCTCAGGAGAGGAACAAAGCCTGAAAATTTTACTTTTAAGGCTTGTAATTTCCAAGAGCAATTGCAAGCTGTTGCTCTTCCTGTGGGTGTTGGGTTTTTTGTTTGTTTTTAATGGATTGATTTTCTTATTTGATAAAGTGGTTACCAGCCAGTGCTGTCTAAGTCGGCCAACTTGTTATCAGGAGTCATACATTCATCTTATAATTGGCAATAAATTGTTCCATCTCCTACTGTAGCTTGTTTAAAAATCAGTCATTGTCACTAACAGCTGAAAACTCAGCATATGGAAATCCTGGAAAATGATGTTGAACATGGAGAAAATTTTATTCATCTTGATATTTTTGCACACTTGTGAAGTATTTGGGACTGATGTGTTCATGAGAAAATATAGGTGGTAAAATAATGTCAATCCTTTATTAGACCTAGTGACAAAATTATTCACTTCACTTGGGGAATACCCTCTATATTAACATATTTTAAATGTAACCATGTAACCCTTCAGCATGGAGAAACAAAGAAAAAAAAAACACAGACAAACATGATTGGGGAAGGGTCACTCTTTAATCTGAAGCCCAACTTCTATTTAGTACATGTTTTTCCATAGCTATGCTGATTTTCATCATTGATGCAGCCCTCACAAGCAAGCAAGGAAGTGGAGTGCAACCCTGGCTTGACCTGATCAGAAACAAAACAGGAGATACCACCTCCCTCATTGCTCCATTTTGGCCATGGTTAGGAAAGAGGAAGTTTAAAGAGGATCCTAAACCAAAAGCACCGGTACAGCCATTCAGCAGACACCAGGGAAGTTGTGACCCAAGTCATAATCTGAACTTTGTGGCTGATGCTTCCCTCTTGAAAGTGCTAAATTAAACTCTAAAGCCCAGAATGAGGCTGTATTGACAGAGAGGAAAAGACAATTCAGAAATATACTGTGTTGCCTGAAACAGTGGCAAATTATCCTGTATGAAACTATAAAAAGTTGTATCAGTGCACACACACGCACGCACACACCCCTTTCTCCCCCCTCCCTCCCCACCTTTTTTTTTCCTTTTTGGCACAACATGATATATTTGACAAAACATTTTCCACTAACCAAAATAATTGCCAGTGAGGAGGTTGTATTTTATCATTTGAGCTGCCTATCCCAGCTGTTAGAGTTCTGTTGGCTCAGTGTTTGATATTTATTCATTTTTCTTAGAAGCATCAAATTCTCATCTTTGGAAGATGTTGACTGAATAGTGATAAGTATTTGGTACTCACACAACAAGTGACATCACTGCAATGCAGTTATGAGTTTCATAATCTGCAAGTTCAGAGCATTATTGCAGAAGGACATGGGGGTTTACTTATATCATACTGAACCATAAATAAGTTTTCCACTTGCTTATGTAAAACTTGTGAATTCTATAACTCTTTCCCCCCCTCCAAGATGCTTCACAATGCTTCCTCAGGCAGTTAACCATGTGATTATCCTATTCATTGCTATTATAAAATAATCAGTTAATCAATGTACATATTGCATGAAATGCTAGAAGCAGAGCCACTGACTTACAAACGGTTGGAAGACAGTCAGTCCATGAATTGGAGTGTTATAAGCTGTAATGACCGTAAAGAACTGGAAAGGGGGCCCTGTAACTCGTCTTCCATCTGGCAATGGAGTTGCTAAAGAACTGTACACAGGCAGAGAGAGATGTTTACAGAGAATTGCAATGACTCATTAGCATGGCAGCTATTTGGTTAACCAATTAAGAAATTATATTGATTTGCACAGCAGTTCTTAGAAACACAAGCCAGTTTTATTGCTGCTGCTTTTAATAAGCAATGATGTCTCAAACTAGGTCTGGTCTAGGGGAATGGTTGCATTAGAAAACCGATTAATGAGTGCAGAGATAAAAATTACTTTGTGTTGATGTGGACAAAAATGGACATAGTTCCTAGGGAGTTATGTGGTTGAGTCATGTGATCATGGACATCTAATTTTTCTAATCCATGGTTGTCTGCAGTCAATTTCTAAGTATTAAAAAATAGCAAAAAACAAACACAAACAAACAAACAAAAATAATCACTTCCTAGTTTGCTGGAAATTAGGTCTCTTATTTTAAATGAAAAATACAGTTCTTTGAAAACTTGTATTGGAATCTCCACATCAAGTGTATTGCTTTTTGGCTTCCTCTTGCAGATGGTTCCAGCATAACCCATGTATTTTCTGTGCAAAAAAAATAAAAATGATGTTAGATCTGCTGAAATCCAATGGAAGAAAAGCATGGTGAGGGTTTGAGCAAACCCATGATGAAGGCAGTTCTAAGCAATAATATTGATTCTATTATATACATTTAACAAGTTGCACTGATCATGAATCTCTTACATGTACTGCAAAGAAAACAGATGAGTAGAAGAGTTTTACCAAATGAATGTGTTTCCATGGAATTGACACTGACACTCTAGCCTTCCTTTGCTTCAGATGGATGTTTGCTAGTATGATCATATTCATTGTGAAGAGACCAGAAATAGTCAGTAGTGAATAAAGTGATATGAAGGAAAATCTCCCTCTTATTCTTGAATTGATAATTGGAGAATTTGCATCTCCAAAACAATGCATTTGGAAAGATTATTACAACATTAACTTGAAACAGCCAATTTCACTCATGCCAAGTCTCTTAAAATGCTGTTCACATTTTCAAAACATTTTATGAATAAATATGTCTTAGATATTCTTTTTCAAAGAAGCAGAAAAAGACTTTTGAGGGTCATTTTAATAGGAGGATGATAATTTAACCTGGGAGTAAAGATGAAATATGAGTGTTCGTTGTTGTTACATGCAATTGGTATTCATTCCCAGTGATTTCCAAAAAAGCAAATTCTTTGAGGGAGAACTCATTCTAGGGAGCTGATCAGCTGCCTTCTTCTGTTTTTTCGTTTGTTTGTTTGTTTTGTTTTTGGGTTTTTTTTTTGTTTGTTTGTTTGTTTTTTTGTTTTTTGTGTGTTTTGTTTTGTTTTTTTCCTAGTCATAGCTTAAAGCACAGATTTTATGGTGCCGTTTGCTTGGAAACAGTGTATGTTCAAAACACCTTCTATCCTTTGCAGAGGTCTGGCCATGCTTCTCCCACTACCACCATGTTATAGTTCCTTCCCACCACCAGTTAATTTCCCTCACTTTTCTGAATTCCATGTCAAGGAATTTGATCTCTTCTCCACTTCTGCTGTTCTGCAGAACTTTCACAGATGTTCAAAATATTTAAGTACCCTTATTGCACTGTGTTGATTTTCACTGTACATAGCAAATTGAAGCCTGAAATTAGGCTGCTTGTGATACATTTTGCAATGTGTAGTTAGTGCATAAGGGCTATTTAACACAGATTTCTCATTAGCATAATATTCTTGCATGTTAAATGTTTTATATGGCATTTCTGTAGCTACTATGGGCAATAAATAAAATGGCTTTCCCATGAGAAAATATTTTGCTGCTAAATGTAGTTATGAAGGTGCTTTAACTCCTTACTACTGTTCATAATCATCATGAGCTATCCTAGCTCTGACTTGTGTGTGCTATCTGTGAACATCAGAGCCCACTCTGTTATTCTTCCCCAAACAGCTGTTGGCTTTGTTATACCAAATTCTGATTTCCATCATATAGACTGACATCACTTCTTTGATGTTAAATTGATCAAAATTTGCTTCATCACCTCGCTAACTCTTCCAAGGGATTTTGCGTGTATACAAAGAAAACAAAGAACAAGCAAACAAACCAAAACCAAAACCAAAACCAAAAAAAAAAAAAAAGAATAAAATAATAATAATAAAAAAAGATACTTTTCCAGAATTAGTTTTAAGAAATGACTTTGACACAGAGTGAGAGCTCTGTGCCAGTCATTCAGACTTGTTTAACCAAGAAGCAGAACAGGCTGAACAAAGAAGAAAGTGGCATTTAAGGTGACCTGCACTGCCCATGTTCTTCAAGGTGTAAACATACTTGGGCAGCAGCTGAAATAAGGAGTTGGTTGAGAAAAATGATAGGACAGAAAAGGTTTTGCATGGTCTGGCCTCAGACAGGAGGCGGGCTAGGTGGGACGAGATGTGGTAGATTAGACTCGCAGATACAAGATGGTGTTTAATAGGTTCTGGTGGAAGGAAAGAGAGAGATGATTTACCACCACATAAAGTAAATGGATGGTGTGTTGAGGTGTATCAGTAGGAGTACTGAGTCACAGCTCATCATCTGGAAAACTGGAAATTTTCAGTACTACAGCAACCCAGCAGTTGCTGTGTATATTCTGGGAGCAAGGAGAAAGTGACAAGTAATGCTTTTTGGAGCATATTGTAAAATAAGTGGGTTTTATCTTCTGGGTGTTCCCATCCTATAAGTTTTCCTGTCAGATTTGGGAGAACGACATTTCACTTTGCCTTTGGTTTGTCTCTGAATTATTGTAACAATGGAATTTATTCTTCCAAACCTGAGTTGCTAGGAGAAAAGGGTCGAGCTGTTTGGGAGGTGGGTGGGAAAGAGGAAGGGTGTGGGGGGAGAAGAAAAGGAAAGAGATTCTGTGCATGACAGATCTAATTTTTTGCATTTTGGGGCAAGTATGATAGCTTCTGATTAATATTCATTGTGAAGTGACCAAATGCTTGTTTTCTTGGTTTAAAAATCAGAATAAAGAGAACGTTTCTACTCTGGTGGGCTAGCTTAGCAGCTCTTAGCTAGCTTCTAGCAGCTTCATGCAAGACCTGACAGGAGTGATGACTTTTTTTTTTTTTTTCTAAAGGAACAACCTATGCAGTGGACATGCTTCAGTGAAAAAGACCAGAAATTTCTTCTAGAATTTTAATACAGTCGTAACAGTTATAGGAAAGACACCTGCAGACAAAACAGTATATTTGTGGAGGATTTAGTGGAAAATGACTTGTTTTTTCTAGACTGGAAGCATGTCAGTACTGTCTCTGTTGCTGATGCATTGTTTGAAGAGAGACAGTTCAACAAGCCAGTCCTTGTAAGCACTGACAGACCTTGTTGTAGGTAACTATGGAGTTTCAGGGTGCTATTTGTTGGTCAGTCACTCTTGTAATCTGCCAGTTATACTTAATCAAAATGTAGCTGAAGAGGCAAAAGTGGAAAACCTCTCCTTTTTAATATGTCTCGTATAATAATTTCAAGGAGCCAGAGGATAAACATTCAATCTAAAGATAGCACATTCATTATTACTTATTAGATGTAAAAGCTTGTGCTATATGTTTAACAACTGTCTTTGTATGTGGAGTTATGGAAACCAAATTGTAAATGTTCACATTGAGTTACTGTAAGAGTCTGCTGCTCGGATTGTTCCATTTCTGGAATGAAAGACCAGGAACTTTTTCTTGGTTGGAGTAGAGTCAAAATGCTTTTACTAAATGCATGTAACAATTCTTATCCTCATCTCTACAGGATTATTTATACTTTTTTGGGGTGCAAGCTTTTTTTGGTTTCGATCTTTTTGCATTAAGCACATCTGCACAGCTAGAATGTTTATTTGAGTAATTTTGTGAAATTAAATTGTTTAAGCTTTTTTCTGATAAGTACCTTTCTGTGTTGCTATTAAAAACACGTGCTACACTCGCTACTCCTACTACATACGGACTTCTGGTTTACTGCTCATTAAATATTCAGATAGTCTGGTGTCTCACTCTCCTCTTAAGAAGAGGAACTGAAAATAGCCTTAATTCTGCAAAAGACTAGACAAACGAAAGATTTTATTTTTGTAGTTTGCTTCTTAATACCACTAGACTACAGCGTGATACCATCGTTTGTGAGGTCTGTGTGGATTTTGGTTTGCCTTGAGAAGTTTGGGGCCCCCAAATTTAGAATTAAAATAAAGTGTCTGGGAAAGGTAAAGGTTGTCTTGGCCAGAATGAAAGCTATTGCTGTGGAAAGAATGAAGGCAACAGATTTTTACTTTACCGATTTGAAAATAGCGTGGGTCAATATGACCGCATCACAGCACCGAACTCCTCCCAGCGCTCATGTAGCTTTGGTGGACTACTGGATCACACCAGCCTATTCTTTTAAGGTCAATGTCAGAGTGAAACCCATTTGATCAAAACAGATACAAGCCTAATGATTTAAATACGGAGGTTGTTTCCCAAATCTGAATACATCAGGCAGGAGCCAGAGAATGAGGGAATTATCAGCACGGGACAGGTTGCTCTTCTGTTAGCACAGGAGCTACGACAGCATGACAAGCTGAAGTTTTGCTGCAGTTTTAATTGCGATGCAGGCGTTTTTCCTAACACCCAACTCGCTGTATTTACCTGCCGGTTTTGCAGAATGTGCCAGCGCTTGGCATTTGCGAGCCCACCACCTCCCGCTAGGTCAACCCCCACCATCGGACGCCAGAGAGCCGCCAAGAACCGGGCTTCCAGCATATTCCTGGCTGCGCAAACTGCTTTTTTTTTTTTTAGCGGGCCCAGACGATGCGCCTCTTTCGGCTCCAGGGCAAGGGGCGGCGGGGCACCCGGGGCTCCTCAAGGGCAACCTGCGGGGGATCCGAGGAGCGGGCGGGGGGCGTGCCACGAACACGGGTGGGAGGCTGCCCCCTCGCGATCCGCGGCCCCCAGCGGGGCACATCCCCTGTGCCGCCCCCCCGGGGCGGTGCGGGGGCCGCGGACAGGTGTGGGCCGGCAGGGGGGCGGGCGGCGGGGCGGGGGCGGCCGGGTTTGTGTGTAGGCAGCCGGGCGGCGCTGCCCCCCGTGCGGCGGCGGCGGCGGCGGCGGCGGCGGCAGCGGGAGCCGCGGCCCCGCGATAAAAGGGAAGGGGCCGGGCGCTGCGCGCTGCGGCGGCACCAGCAGGGAAGGAGGGAGGGGACCGGGGAAGGAGCAGGAGGGTTGTGCCGAGAGGAAGAGACACCGCCCGCCCGCCCGTCCGTCCGTCCGTCCATCCATCCTCCCGGAGGAATCCCGGTCGGCCCCCCCTTCTCCCTCCCGGCGGGAGGCGGCCGCGCATCGAGGAGGAGCCGCTGCCGCCGCCTCATCCATCCTGCGGCACCGGCCGGCGCTGCCAGGAGCCCGGCGAGCGCAGGTGGGTGGGTGGGCAGCAAGGGGAGCCCCTTGTCCCCAGCCCTCTTCGGCTGCTGGCTCCGGGTGTGGGGTTTGGGGAGGGGTCGCGGCGAGGGGCTGCCGGGGGTAGGGGGGGTGCCGGCTGCGGGGCGGCGCCCGGTGCGCACCTGAGCGGCCGCAGCCGGGCTGGGGGCCTGGGGGGGTCCCCTGGGGGTCCCCATGGCCGTCGGGGGCTGCGGTGGGTCCCCCTCGGGGCACCCCCGACGGGGGCAGCCGGATGGTTGCGTGGAAGCGGGGTGCGGGCAGGCGGCGGCGCTGGGCTTTTTTTTTTTTTAATTTTTTTTTTTTTTAAAGAGCATCTTGTTCTTGGAAAATCGCGTTTAATTTCGCTTTCTATTCCAGTTTGTGATTTCGGGTAGAGGCTGTGATTATCGTTGACGTAGCGTAGTGTGCAGAGCGCTCCTTGATGGGCGCAGGTACGCGGGCAGCGGTAGTCACCCATGCGTTCGCTGTGGCGTGGTGAAATGAGTTAGTTTCCGTCTGTTAATGACTTGATAGCGTTTTTCCAAATAGATGTGTGCTGGGGAGTATTCGTGCGGGTGCTTCCAGAGAAGATATGAGCAATTCTTCACTGGAACAAGGGGGAGTACATGCGCATGTAGAAGCCAGTGTTCCCCCGGAGCTCGTATTCTGAAACTTCGCTTTCAGTGAAACCCCTGTTCTGAACGCTGAAAAGCTTTTTTTTTTTTTTTTCCTTTTTTTTTTTTTTCTTCCAAGAAGACTTGAATTTTCTATTTTTATTTTTTTATTTTTTTTTTATTTTTTTATTTTTTTGCAAAGGATTAACGTGAGTGTTCTGGGTACTACGTGTTCAGTGTTGATGTAAGTGTTTAATTTGCCACAGTCTGTGGCGTATTGCTCAAACTGCAGTAAGCGTGGAATAAACGTAGTGCTTTTCATTACATAAAAAAGTTCAAGATCACTTTTACCTCTATGATACGTTCTTCCATACGTTAGCTTCTATTCGTATGCATTCTTTGCAACCTATGTAACAGCAACTGAACTCAGTGCGCAAATCATATTTGCAAAACTGTTCATTTTTCAGATGGAAGAACAAATCAAATTAGTTTTTGTATTTACCTAGCAGTTAAGTGCAGATGTTCTTGTATTCTGACTTGAGAAGTCACCTTGCTCTGTCAAGGTTATTGCCTGTCCACTAGCCAGCAAGGATAATGTAAAAATCTGTGAAGACCTTATCTGTCTTTGAGAGTTCTAAATGTTCTGTTGGGTTAACTGGAGTTGGGATTGTTTTATTTCCTGCCTTCCTGAAATTCATTAAGTAACAAATGACAAATAACTCAGTCCAAGGATTTTAACACCCTTTTTGTGAAAGGGAATGCTTTAGAATGGCTCTGTAGAGAAAAAAAGAGCGAGCAGAACAGTCATGGGAATAGGATTTGCAGCATTAAATATGGTTAATTTCTCTTCTATGACTACAGGTGGCAGTGTAGAAGCCAAGAACAAAAATTGGCAGAAATTATGTTCTGTATACAAGAAAATGAAGAGAGTGTACTCATGACTAAGCACAGGAACCTGGAAAACCACAGGTATGTAAAATGATTCATACAACTGCCTATAGTGCTCCCAGTATTTACTGTATTCCTATGTTCCTGGCACAATAGGTATTTCTGGACTAATGATCACTTCATGTATTCACAATAAGAGCCTAATCAAAATGCCATGGAAAAATCTATATTTGATTACTTAAAAAAAAATAATAATAATACTTTGAAGGCAGTATGCAAGGACAGGTGGGATTTTCAGACATTTATAGGTTATGTTAACTGTGAAGAATCATTATGATTGAGTTAATTTCCTTCTAAATAAATATATTTCATATTGATAAACATGGCAGTAATAGCCTGAAATATGCTTGAAGTGGTGAAACATCAGATACAATAGACAGTTTTCCACGTCTGTACCATTTTCTAATGAACACTGAAGAATCGAAAGCATGAGGAGAGTTATAGACATGTAATTAAAAAGACGTGATTTCAAATGATTGTCCAGTTGTGGTGCGTGTCATTGAGTGTTAAGTCTTCTGCAACTAAAAAGTTCTGTTGTTCATTCTTTAAAAATAAGAATTTAAAAGGCAGTACCTAATCAGAGCTCATGATTAGCTCTCATGCTTCAAAGCAAAGGGAAGTAGTAGGCTACCTGAGTAATTATTTTCTCATTAATTAGCAAAATTAGAGTACAGCAGAGCTTTTCTTGTATGTTTACATCATTGTGCACAGCTGGTAGAAATTAGTCCATGGGTCTGCATTCCAGGATTCCTGGGAAGCCATGGAGGATGGAACAAACTCAGAGCTGGAGCCTGAAGAGTTCTTGGAACTTGTGTATGGGAAGTTACCCTGGTAAGAAGTGTCAAAGTGCAACCATCACCGTGTTTGTTAATAAGTTTGTTCTTTTGCATTTGGCTATTCTTTCTCTACTCTAGGAAGGCATTCTCCCTAAATCTTAAATAGCTTCCAAGAGAACGTGGTTATACCACAGTGTTTACAGGTGACAGAGTCCCCTTGTGTCAGCTACCCTGCAGTAACTGGTTGTAGGTACTGTTTTAGTTATCCCTGATTGCAAAGTAAAAACACAGGTGCAGACAAAATGCTTTATTTCACTGTTAGAATGCACTAAGGTATGCATCCCGTTCAGTATAATCGATCAGCTGTCACCAACAAACCCTTAAATTCTGTAACCCTTGAGATTCTGTAATCTAAATCAAACAATTTTTTTTCCCCCAGTGATTGAAAAACATCCAGGTTATAATATTTTTTTGGGGCATCCAAGCCCTCAAGTTGTAAACTCCTTGGGGGAGGGGGGGGGGGAGGTGCTGTACTGGGGAATAGTGAGACCCTGATCTGTGAGTGGGGCTTGTGGGTGCTGTCAATGCCTTCAAAGTACTCCATGCCTTGGATAGAGTACCCTAAAGAGCTGACATAGTTACTAATTTCAATTTAAAAGAAAAAGTGAATGAATTTGTGTCTTCAGAGCTGTTCTGCAGGGAAGAGGAGTTCTAACCATCTTTGCCTGGCCATTACATTATTGCTCACCACCTATTACTTCTGAGTGGGGACCCACTTAGGTATAACTGGGGAGGAAAAAGCAAGCAGCACTAAGGTCTGTATGACCATGTAGTTTTTTATTATTACTTATTGAGCAAAACTTAGTTATATAAACTTATACAGCTTATATGAATAGCCATGTTTAAGATGCCTGAACTGCTTGTGCAGTACAGGTCTAAGTGTACTTACAGCTTTGTTAAACATTGAGTTCATTAGTTTGCTCTAACATATTTAGAACAGAAAATGAAAATGTTATTGGTACAAAAATTTTATGGAGTCTTCCATTACATCAAGTGTTCACCAAAATATTAAATACAACTGGTAACTAAGCAGTGTGATGCTCAAGAGTTCAATCTAGAGACACTTCTCTATGCTAATTATGAAGTATTGACATAAATGAATGAAACTACTTGTTAAAGTGCCTTTTGCAGTGTTTA